TACAGCCCGCCCGGGTGGGGTTGTACCGCCATAAGCCGAGTGCGGCGCCTGGACCAAGTCCGTTGCGTGGGTTGGCCACAGCCGTGGCATTTTACGCCGAGAGTCTGAGAAGCAGACACGGCAAATAATCTGAAGCCTGTTTCACTCAATCGAAGCCGAAAGATGATGTTAAAGTGGCTTGCGTGCATGTGGCAAGTTTCAAGGCAAAGCAAATGGTAAGCATGACTGCTCATGTTTGCGGACAGGCGCTTGACTTGAAGACACAACGCAGCTTTTGAGAAGCAGGTGTAGCGCACGGACTTTCTTAGCTGTCGGACATGGCTCCCAAGCGCGTCATGCCGAAGGCCGTGCCCATGCAAGCAAAGGGGCTGGGAAAGGCAAAGGGCGGCAGACTTGGACTGCTGGGGAGCGCCTGATCGGGAATCAGGTCCTCCACCGAAATATCCGAGCATTCCGACCCAGGACGAGGACGGCAACTCGTCCGCGATTTGGGAAGGCTTGACAAAGCCGACCGTTTTCATGTCGCCAGAGAACTTGATCGACCATGTTGGAGCGGAGACCACGGAGCTGATCAATCGCATGGCGGTTTCTCTGAACTTGGTGGGGTCGCTGAAACTTTCCGGGGTGTGCTGGACCACCCGAGCCTCTGGCATCCGGAGCTCGTGGCCACCGTGGAGGCCCTCTGGAACAAGTAGGACGTGGCAGCGGCGGCGAAGCTACTCAACAGCCAGGGGTACCCGCACGAGCCGCGGTCCGCGGCGACTGTGAGCAGGGCCTCGGCACATAGGCTGCAGCTTGTGCAGGACATCCGCAGCCGGTGGGATACGTTTGCCGACCTGTTTGCTGCGGCCAGCACGGTGACGGTCTGCGGCAGCTGGCTGCTCACGGCCGGCGCGCTGACGCTACCAGGAAAATACGCGGCGAAGGTGAAGGATGTCCCCATGACGGCGGCTGCGGAGAAGGAGGCTCTGCTCGCGGACCCGGACAACGTGGTGGCAGCGGAGTGCCTGGCTTTGCAAGGCCTAAGGCACGAACAAGCGGCAGCGAGCACCGCAGCGGCAGCCGCGGCGTTCGTGCCGATGAGCTTTGAATCGGACGACGACGCGCCGGCGCCGGCAGCCGCAGCGGCGCCCGCAGAGCCGACGCTGGAAAGCCGCGTTGCGGATTATGTGGCCGCGGCTGTTCCCGAGAGGAAGCGCGCGCTCAAGGCCGCATGCCATGAACGCCGCAGGCGCGAGCGACCCAAGGAGCATCCAGCAAGTCGACCGGGCCGCCTTTAAGCGCAAGGCCAGCGGCTTGAAGCGCAAGGCGACGGAGCTGTGCGTGGCCTTGGACTAAGCCCAGGACAGCAACTGTTCGATGTACAGAAATTTTCAACCGTGCACTAAGACTTATCCAGAGACACTGGTGCGCGTTTGAAAAGGATGGTTTACAGATTTATCAGAGGTACTCGTGCGCGTTCAAAAACACTGGGGCCAAAAAAACTTGCGCAACAGCCAAGAGCGGTAAGGCATGAAACAATGACTTGTGCGCCATGCAATTTGCGCAGGCCCGCTGGCCGGAGGATTTGGGCATTGCGAGCAGATCAACTTGAGCGCGAGCCGGAGGCGCGCGTGTGCGGTGAAGTCCCACCCCGCATCCTCTTACACAGCGCGCGGCCGCTCCATCCTCAGCGTTGAAATAAGCGCTGCAATAAGCGTTGAAATAGGCGTTGAAATGAAACGAGCGTTGCAAGAAGCGTTGAAATAAGCGTTGAAATAAGCGTTGAAAAGAAACGAGCGTTGAAACAAGCGTTGAAATTAGCGTTGAAATTAGCGTTGAAAGAAGCGTTGAAATTCAGAGAGGCCTTGAAATGAGTGTTGAAATAATCGTTGAAAGAAGCGTTGAAATGAACGCTGAAATAAGTCTGGAAATGCGCAAAAGCGTTAAAATAAGCGTTGAAATCAGCGTTCAAGCAGGCGTTGAAACAAGCGTAGAAATGAGCGTCGATGGAGCGGCCCCGAAAATATGCTTCCGCCCCGACGGAGCGCGCCCGAAAATATCCTTCCCCCCTTAGCAGGGGCTATAAACGGGCGTTGAAAGAAGCGTTGAAATAAGCGTTGAAATACGCGTTGAACCAAGCCTTGAAATAAGCAGTCAAATAGGCGTTGAAATACGCGTCGCAATGAGCGTTGAAATGAGCGTTGGTTGTTAATCGCCTTATTGCAACGACCCCCCGATTTGGAGTTCGGACAAGGTAAAACATACATTAGCAGTACTGGTATACCTTCAGAGAGGTATACTCAGACTGGGGTGAACACCGCTGAGGGCTCCGTTCAGTGCTAACTGGCTTGTGGCAGCCAAGCGTTCATAGCGACGTTGCTTTTTGATCCTTCGATGTCGGCTCTTCCTATCGTCACTGCACTTGGCTTCACCCAAACCCCTAACAGGCCAATTCCAACATCGCTTGAAACAGCAAAACGCCACTAGTATCTGCAAAAGAAAGAGACAAATTCACGGCAACGAGATAATCCAGATCCTGCGCGTCCGGGGGACCCCCCCCCCTAGAGATTTAGACGAAACGCAGATTTCTAGCACGAAAGACCGCAAAACACTGGAAAAATACAGGGTTTTGGACACGTAGCGCAGCATGCCCAAAAAATAGCAGTCCCAAAAGCCTTCGGCTTTGATAAGAGATTCCGAAGGAAGACCAAGTTGCGGACTGCCATCTACACGCTCGACTGGCGTCGGCGGATTTATATTTCCAGCCTTTTATTATTTACCTCCTACATCTCTTTATTGATGTACTCTATTTGCTTTGCCTTGGGATTTCATGTGCTGGAAGATCATAAAAATAAAAAATCATAAAGACATAATGAAAAACAGATAATTCAAAAGCTTTTTTTCCCTTGACTATCGCTTCTTTATCTCTTTTATATCTCTTCATATCCTTTCCTTTCTTATCATCTTCTATGCCAGTTCGGCATGGCGCTGACAGGTAAGACGGGGCTTGTGCCAAAGAGATTTAGGATTGAGGGGTTTGTGAAGCCAACACATGGGATTTGGTATGTATATATATATATGTATATATATATATATATACATTTACATGTACATGTATATACATGCATCTGTACATAGAAGCCGAAACATTGGTGTCGGTTTTTGATCTTCAAAAACATTCACAATGAAACAAAAAGAGGCCGCGCTCTTGTTGTTTCTGTGTGTGGTCTTGTGTACCTTCTTGTCCTTTTTTGTCGTGCCTCAAGTTGCGGCAGTCCGTTATGGGACAAGACCCACGGCCACTGTCCAATCCTTCTGGCAGCGGCTCGCTCAAGAGGCACCTTTGAGGGGCCCCTTGATAGAATCACTTTTGAGTGGGGCTGCTAACCCCACCAAGTGCCCTGTGCACCGGGGACTTCGCATAGCTCCGAGTGAGACATGGGAATCGGAAGTCTAAAGACAAAACAACAAAACAAATTCCCGGCGTTAATTTTGCTTCCCTTTGCAAGCGGTCCGCCGACTTGACGAGAGGGGTGACTTCTCCCTGCCACCAAGTAGGCCATTGTGCAACCTCATCCAGCCCCCACAGGACTCCGCACGTCACTCCATGGAGTTCATGAGTTGGTTTGCGATGCATGTGACCAGCTTGGCCGCTGAGGTGTCTTGTTCCTGAGCCGCTCGGAAGAACGAGCCGCAGAGCTTGCGTTGCATGTTGCCACCCTTTGTCACCGGTAGGGTGGTTCGTTTCAGGCTATGATAAATTCAATAAGATCCAACCCCCACTTGGGCACCTGGTCACCAGTCACCCCCCTGAGGTCATTTGTAGATCATCTTTCCTCGGTCCAATGTTGGCGAGCCGGGTCGCAAGAGAGCGGCGGATATTTTTTTCGGACGGGTGTCCAAGCCAGGCAGCGAGTGAGTTGCGATTCAGAACAGTGGATGTGGGTTGGCTTTCTGAGAACCATGGTGAGCCGCTTGCTGGGGCAGGGTTCCTCATTGTTGTGTTTTTGCACTCCCTTTTAGGCTAGAGGACATTTGCTTTTTGGTGGGGTGTTTCTTTTTCGGCGGGGAAGTGTGGGGAACTCTGTAGGCATCCCCCGGATTCTCATTAAGAAAGCCAGTAGGTCTGGAGGAATTGCCTTTTGGGGACCCCTCTTCTTGTGTCTCCACGATTTGCAGGGGAGGGACACAATGAAGCGTCAAATGGGAAGCGCGGTACGTTGCGTGACACTGGGCCTGGACACGGTGCAATCGGGATGGCTCCAAGCTGGGCTGTTCAACGAAAATCCGAACAATCCTTCGCTGCTTGGCTGAGTGTGCATTTCAAAAACCGTCTCGGACAGACTCCAATAGTTTTGCTCGGCTGATTTAGGCTTGGCCACGATTTGGGTGTGCTTGCTCCAGTTTGAAGCAGAAAGGCAAACAGCAGCTGCATATTAGATGGTCATGCTCTTAGATAGTCAGGTTTTATTGCTTTTATAGATGGTCCATGCTCTTAGATAGTCAGGTTAAACTTAGAATATTTTATTGCTTTTAGATGGTCTTGCAGACCAGCAAGAAGCTCGATCCAGTTGGCTCGATCCAGTTGGCTCGATCCAGTTGTGGCCTTGTATGCAGCCTGTGGCACAGGACCTCCAGAATTGTGCTGTTCTCCTCTTGGTTCCCCCCCAAAATTTTTGGGCTCCCGTTCTGTTTCCGTATCCCCCAATGTTCTCCTTATGTGTCCCCTCAAAAGCTGGAAAAAGATGCAGCTCCCTATGTTTTCCCCTACAGCGCCGGATACGTGGGACGTGACTCCCGGGACACGTGGCATTTGTTTCCCCGGGCAGCAGGAAACCAGCCGTCTTTTTTGTTGGTAAGGAATCGGACCCAAAACTGGAGCGAATCGGACCGGGACCCAAGAATGGCCGCGGTGTTTTCCCATGAAACCAGCCAAACAAATTGAACCTCCACCTGGTTTTCTCCTTTTGCTGTTGCCATCAAAGAGTCCCACGCGCCATCCGCGCGCCTCGCGCGAGGCGCGGCGGCGCTTGCCGCACCGCTGCTCTCCACGCTGCCCAAGGCCTGGCGCCTCGAGCGGGAGGCGGGGGATGGGCGGGGGCGGGCGGGTCGCGGGGCAGGGCACCCCGTGGACTCGATGTGTGTTTTCCCCTCTTCTTCTTCTTTGTTTCCTTTTGTTTTCTCCTTTTTTTTCTCCTCTTTTTGTTTCTCCTTTTTTTTATTCCTTCCTCTTTTTGTTTCTTCTGATTTTTGTCTCCTTACTAAAAAACAAACTGTTTTTTCTCTCCATTTTTTCGTGTTGGGAGTTGGAGCTTATGACTTGAGAATGCAAAACATGCTCTTTTTTTTCGGGGGGGTCCTTTGGTGTTCGGAGTTGGGATTTTTGCAATCTATGCCATCGCGAAAAGTTTAACTTTCAGCAAGGGAGCAACGCAGAGCAAAGATATGTTTACACATCTATTCTCACCCAAAACCAATGTCCTTTACTTGGATCCTTTTCTTATTTCCGGTTTCGGATGTATGGTAAACATTGACATACCCCCTGAAAGCGGGTCCTTGAACAACGACACCCCGGTCAGATGGCCGGAAGACGTTCAATCTGGGTGCACGATTTAGAAACAACCATATCCTAGTATCCTTTCCTCGTGCTTCCGCTGTATCCGTTCTTATGACCATCATTTGTTTCAGGGCTAGGGACGGACATGTTTTTTTGGTTGCAGTAATCCATGAATCTATGTGAATTCTCAACAGGGGCTTGAAGACCCAATGGCAGGCGCGCAAATACGCTCGCTCCATACCTCCAAGCTGCATACCAGAAGAGAAGGCCCTCACACCCACACATATTGACATGCGTGCCGTCCGAAGTTAGTTGGCTCAGCGAGGGCTGTTATGGCGTTCTTGCGGCACGCGAAGCCAGCAGTTACACGTAGACGTGCCCCTTTCTTAAGCCCCAAAGACCAATCCGAGGGACGTCTTCCAAGCAGAAATCGATAGAGCCAACCAGCTCGGAGCGCGACGCGACGCGCGACCGCCCATCGCGCGTGAAGATGACGCACCAGCGCTCTGGGCCCTTGGAGAATGAGGAGTTCCTGGAGTTTCAGGATACCCAGCCTCTTGGACCTGTGGGGAAGCAGGCTTTGCAAAAACTTATGGCAATGACTGTGCTGCCAGTTGCCATTGCTGTTAGGCGAAACCATGGAAAGACCTGCGGATTACACTGCGTGGTTCGTTGGTAACTGGAAGCGCGAGCTCGCGGGTCACTAGGTCCCCCTAAAGGAGCTTTTCTGGAGGCACCAGAGCCACAAAAAGTTGCTTAAATGTAGACGGCAGGAACTGTCGGAGGGGTGGACATGATGCGGACCCTTCTCAAGATCCACCATCCATGGATTGCTTTGAGTCCCCTTCCGGTCCATTCCTACCGACCAGCCAAGAGCTACAAGAGCGAAGGGCCCGGAAAGCCAGCCGCCGCCCCAAAAACCGCAACCATTTTCTCTCAGGGCAGAGGGGCTCTGGTGCCCAAGGGCTTCCGAGGTTCGTGACGGGCCACATCCAACGGATGTTCCGCTTCTACATGTTCAGGCCGGACCTCGGCCGCTCGGCCTCGGGGCAATGGAGGAAACGCCTTGCAGTCGGCTCCGGGTGCTGTTCTAGGGGTTGATTCCCCATTCTTTTCAACCATCGTTCTTTTCAAAAACCTGGGTTCTTGATGGCTTCCTGAAAAGAAGGATCCCTGGAATGTGTCTCCATATCGTGCAGGTGTCACCTGTGAAGCAAGCAGGCTGAAGCTGTTGATTTCGGCGTGTCTTGTTTTGGGGTACCTTTTTTCAAGGGGGTTGGGCCAAGGGGAATCCAAAGAAAAGCCACTCTTGTGAGGGTTCCTTGGAACCGAAGGACCACCCCATTTCTGCTGGGCATCGAAGTCCGGGCCTGGCGCCCGTTCCATGCAGGACCCCCTAGGATGCCTCCGTGCTGGCCTCCAGAGGTCTGATCCCCCAGGGCACCCAGGAATTTTTCATCCGGGGTCATAACAAACTGGGCCAACAAACTGGGAAGGTCAGACAGACATGGGAGAGCATGGGTGCCTCGTCGTTTTTTGGAGTTGGGCGGCTTGTGTGGCTTTGCAGGGTAAGCAGAAAGTGAGGCCGAGCTCGTTTTTGGGCAGGTGTTCCACCCGCTGTCCTCTTGGGGCCAGCATTTGTTTTTGGGTTGCCAACTGGCTTTCCTTCGTAGTGGTTTCCCAAAAAGGGATGCTGGACCGCGTTGGCAAGCCCGAAAAAGCACTGCTTGGCTGAGTGTGTATTTGCTTGTGTCAATCCAGAGCGAATAGGGGAAGCCCAACATGGTTTTTGCTTTGGTGTCCATTCAACGCACCCCCAAAAAAAAGAAAGAAAGAAAGAAAGAAAGAAAGAAAGAAAGAAAGAAAGAAAGGAAGAAAGAAAGAAACAAGGAAAGAAAGCAAGCAAGAAAGAAAGAAAGAAAAGAAAGAAAGAGCGAAAGACAGACAGACTGACAGAAAGAAAGAAATAAAGAAAGACAGATTGAAACACAACCAAGCACAATCCCATACTTGAAACAGCTGTTTGGTGAAAGGGGTTGCCGAAGATAACATTGGCGAACATCTTTCTTTTTTTTTGGGGGGGGGTAGGGGGGTGGGGTTGCTCTACGTTCAGAGTAAGGCAAGGCGTACAAGACAATGTGGGTCACGGACTTGGAGTACGTGAAGAAGGAGAGGGACCGGTGCTTGGAGCTGCTCAAGAAGAAGGCGAAGATCAGGGAGACGCTTCAGCCGCAAGATGGGCCGTGAACTTGCTGGTGCGATAGGGAATGTGGGAATGGAACGGTGGACTGCTATTGGGCAACGGATCTTTAGACTTGAACTTGTTGGCACATTCAGGGGTTTTCCACTAACCCCCCCGAAAAAGTTAAAAACTCTTTGCGGGGGGTAGGGGGGTGAACAGCAACCAAGAACCCAGACATTTTCCCGTTAAAGGGACGCGTGCTGGGTGTCCGCCCGTCTGAGGAGGGCCAAGTCGCCCAACTCGCCCAGCGCGCCGGGGCGCATCGACCCCTTCCGCCCGAGGGTGGGGGAGATCCCCCACGGCTGCTTGGGCCGCAAGTGCTTGGACACGTCCGCTTCGGAAAAGGCTTGGCACTTGGGATGCACAACTTCTCCCATGTGGGAAATATCATAGTGGTGTTCTCCAATGGTCATCCTAAAGGACCTTTTGATCAACCACCACTTCAGGCAAGTTGGTTTCCGCTGCTTGCTGGCCCTAGGTCCCCCAGCAATTGGTGCCCTTTCTCACCCGTTTCTTTTTTGGTTGGGAGGAAAGTTCCCCTACTCAAATCGACTACCGAAAAAATCGGGTACCAACTTATTCTAACCACTCTACTGGAGGACCTAGTGGCCTGTCAGAGGCAATCTGCAAGATCCTTACCGTGGGTTATGCAATGGCTGCCCTTTGCAGTGGTTTCCCTACAGGAATTCTATAATTGGGGTTGGCCAGCCCTCCATGTTTTGAACAGCCAGACCCTTGCAATAGCAGGGTTCCATTTTTTGACCACCCTTTTGGGGAAATCAACCAGCCTGGGTTTAAGTCGGCTTTGGGGTAGTCAAACAACGGAACCCTGTGCAACAGTGGTTTTGACAAGTGGCTTGACCGCCCAAGGAAAGTTGTCCCGGTCCTGATGGCCACCTTGTGGTTGAGGGGGGTCATACCCAGATTCTGGGGGGCTGTGCAACGGTGCCCGGTCCACAAGTGGATCACTGCGTGCCGGATTCTCGAAGGGTGCACCTCCTTTTGGTTAGTGTGCGGCGGGGGCACAATTTTCGAAGAAAGTTTGTGCGTATGTTTCCTGAAAACGCAGGCAAGGGTTCCGAAAGGCGGCCGGCATCTGAGGAATGATCCTCTCCAGCTCGCGGTTCTTGTCCAACTGACAATTGACGGCCGCGCGTAGGTTCAGCCCATGCTCTCGGCAAAGCGGGTTGCGCGCGCTGAAAGCGCGCAACCCCCGGGTTGTGGGAAAGGCTCCCAACGAGTTTTTTCGTGGCTTGGGGAGTTTCCCCAGCGACACTTGATTGCTATTGGGTTGGATCTTTAGACTTTAACTTGCTTTGGGAAATCAAGCGGCTTTCCAGTAAACCCACAAAAAGTTAAACTTTTTGCAGAGGGGTCAACGGCAACCAAGGACATATGTCACAGGTTTCCCTTTCCCACGGCTCCTCGATTCAATAGAAATGGCCGCGGCGGCTGCGAGCCTAGCGTCACGAGCCAACGTGCGAGCAGCCGCCTGGTCCACTGACTAGCGTCGCCAACTTTTGGCCAACTCCACTAACTAGAGCTGCACATGCCATGCCTTCGCGCGCTTTCAGCGCTCGAGCGTGTGCGCATGAGCACGCTTTCCAACTTAGCGCTCGTGCAGCAAGAGTTCCCAAAGCCTACCCTACAAATTGGCGGGGATTCCTCTCCAAATGAGTTTCGCTGGTTCCATGTTGCTCTGCAAAAGCGGGTTCTAAAACCAAAGCCGTAGCCCTGGACAGAAGCTCTGCTTGTTGGCTTGAGCGTGGGAAGTGTCCGGGAGGCCGCGCCCGGCACGGTTCCCGTAGGCCCAGGACCGGGCAACGCCGCTCCAGAACCTCCTGGGGCGTTTCGGACGGAGGGCCTTGAGGGCAAATGTGGACCAAACTGATACACCCATTCACAACGAGGGTTCCTTCCAAAATTGATTTCTTTGATCTATTTTTCCCGCCAAAACAGGCACAGCCTCAAATCGCCATGAGGCAGCAGCTCATGAATCGGGTGCCCATTGTCCCAAAGCATTGGCACGGCGTTGGCCGGTCAGAAACTCCTTGACTGAAGGCCAGCTCTGCTCTATTGCAAGCTGGCTGAAGGACGAAAGGCTGCAAGCACGCCTCAAACACCGGCTGGGCAAGATTTGCTGAAACAGGAGGTTGTTTAAATGGAGGGTGCCCTTCTGATGGTTGCCTCAGGCATGTTTCAACAAGAGGCTGGCCGAATTTTGGCGCTGAGGGTTGCGAGCCCTTCCGTCCTGAGCCTTACGCCGTCCCTGCGAACCGCCGTGGAGGTCCATCTCCTGGCCTTCTGCTTGCTGGTTCCCGTGGGGGAAGTGGCATTGAAGTTTGGGCTTCCCTTTTTCTGAGACCAAAGATTGTTTTGATGCCGGCTGGCTTTGTTCGTTTTGTTGGGCTGGCTTTGTTTTTTTTGTTGGGCTGCAATGTCCAAGGTTGCCTTCAGTGATGAAACCCCGGACCATTGGATGTTTCAGTTCGAGGTCATTTTCGATGGTTCAGCTTGGGGTTGCCCGAAAGCGAACCAGCAAGTCCGGAGGTTCCCGGCCTTTTCCCGAGGGACAGCGGGAAAAAATCGAGCTGGCAGAGAGTTGCGGGCAGGGGGGTTGGGTTTGTGTGTGTGTGTGTGTGTGCTTGGGTGTTCCTGACACGCAATATCAGAACAAAAGCAGTAGTGGTCCGTATTTAATGTTCATTTGGGGTCGAACTCCAGTTACCCCAGTTGATTTCCCAGTTGCCCCAGTTGGGCGTTTCGTCTGTACTCAGTTGTTGGCTTTTTTTTTGGGTAATGGACACCCAAAGGAAAACCGAAATCCATGTTGGGGGGGTCCTAAAGCAAGGTTAGCCCAGTTGGGTGGCTTGTCTTGTTTGAGGGTGCCCATTTGCTGGTGGGTTTTAAAGGGAGACCAACCACCACCATCTTTGAGGGACCCTCTTTAAAAAGGACATACCCAGTGCCCCATCCATTTTGGGGGTACCCTAAAAGAAAAAGACCGACTCAGTTACCCCGTGGATCGAACATTGGTGACTTGCCCATGTCTTGGTGGTTTCAATTGGACACCAAATCTTTCTCCATTTTATTTTTGAAGGGCCAGCAAAAAAGTAACACCCAGCTACCCATCCATTTTGCTTGCGGTTTTAAAGGGACACCACCAGGAAAATTACAATCCATATTCGTTTTTATTTATTTTTTTTGGGGGGGGCGCCCAAGAGAAAGACCCATACGGAGCTGTATTTGCCCGGGCCGTGGATCGATCGCTCGACCCGGCGCCGTGGTTCTGGGAGGTGGCTGCCACCTTCCCCACGGAGCCACGTGAGCTGCGGAGGTCCCGGGCCGCGGCCTTCAGCGTGGGCGCCTGGATGCTGGGCCCGCTGGCGGAGGCGGAGTCGCGGGGAGGGGACGGGGGGGGGGAGCCAACTTGTGGTTTGGTGGCTTCCTGGCAAAGGGAGGCCACCAAGCCAACAACTTGCTTGATGTTGGGGTTTTGAGATTTCAAGTTGGTTGTGCGTATTGAGCCCACACATTAGTGAACATTTTCTTGCAGAGGGGTTGTTGCAACCAAGTTAGGGGGCGGATCGCAATGAGCGTTAACCCAAAACTGGGGGGATTCCTTGGTTTGGAGTTTCCAGGCCTTGGGGGCCAGATATTCCAGTTAAAGGTCTGGTTTCAGTGTCTCACTTCTCACATTTCTGGACGCTTTGTTTTCCTCCAACATACTGTGGATGGACGAAATCCTGCACCACCTAAGAAGCCCTGAAATGCTGATTCCCTCGTAACTGCTGGGGAACCATGGTTTCTCCTGGTTTCAAAGTGGTGCAGAATTTCGTCCATCTTCGGGCAACTGAAGCTGACGTAATGCCCACGCCCGGGTTTCTGCGTAGGGAGACAGGTAGACAATATGTACAGATATGCATACTTCGAATGCCTCAATGATGCAGGTATGCATTCATGTAAGCGTGCACCTGAAATTCTCGGGCAATACGCGAGCCCGTGAAACAAACCTTTCTGACACTTCTTCGCTCGGGGCCCCGAGCGCGCTTCCCAAACACCCGTATGCCTCCCGCCTGTTTTTTTGGCTTGCCTTCAACCTTTTGGACGATAGCGGCCAACCCCACCCCCGAAGAAAAAAAGGAAACAACACAGGCGGAAGGAGGGGAGGATTCTGCGTCACACTTTGGGCCTTTGGGTTTGACATTTGGTTCCCGGGTTGAAGACCGGCTACCACCATCGTCCAAAAAGGGCCCCCCATCTTTTCACCCAAGCCCTCCAAACACCACGAGCTGGGTGCCCGTCCCAAAACCTCCATTTGCTGAAAAGTTTTTTTCCCCCTTGTTGGTTTTAAAAGGACTTCATCACTACTTACTGTTTTTTTGGCTCATTTTTTCCTGGGGCCGAAACACCAAATGGAAGTAAAAGGACGCGCGGGTGTCGCGGGGCTTCTCCCGGGCGAAGCGCCGGCCGGCGCCAGTTCGGGACCTGCACACTGCGGCCGCCGCAGACGGCGGCCTTTAAGACGCCGCCCGGCGACCTTGGCGGGGGGACGAGGGAATGACCCGTAGCCTAGAAACCATCCCCTACTGTGGGTGGACGAAATCCATTTCGCACCACCTAAGAAACCATGGAAAACCATTGTTTCATGGTATTTACAGGAGAAGTATCATTCCGGGGTTCCTGAGGTGGTGCAGGATTTCGTCCACAGTATGGTTTCCTTCAACTATAGTAACTAGCTCGTTCTCAGCAGGGAATGAGAAATGGAATGACCCTGCAATCCATCCCCCATGGTTTCCTTTCAGGGAATTTTGAAACGGTTCATTCCCAACACTCGGAAGGTGATTCCCTGAGCACAAGCAAGTTGAGGGTACCCTTCCTAGGCAGGTAACCCTTGGAGGGTGGTTTGGGGATTTGAACGAGGGAAGCTGATTTGAACGGGGGTTGTTGAAGGGATCCAAATCTATAGACTGACACACACACACACACCACACTCTCACACACTCACACTCTCACGCTCTCACACTCTTAAACCCACACCCCTCACGCTCTTCCCTCTTCACGCTCTTCACGCTCGCCACGCTCAGCACAGCACGCTCACCACGGTCAGCACAGCACTCACCACGCTCACGACAGCACGCTCAAAACGCTCACCACACTCGCCACCCCCCCCCCCCCAACACCTTTACGCCGTCACACTCACACACCGTCGGGCCCGACTCATGACCGCATCGAGGATCGTAGGGGAGGTTTGGGCATTGGGCTGGCAAGTCAACCGAGGCTCGAGAACGAAAGCCTGCTGATGGACATCTACACACCAGGTGCGTGAGCCCAGACACCCGGTGCGCGCCCTTTTTCTCTTTTTTTTTTTTTGGCTGTTCAGAGGCAATCCGCAAGGATCCTTACGAGGGCTTTCACTTGAGCATCACTAAGGCACAATCAAAACTCGGGTACCGGTGCGGATATCCGCCTGACACTTCTTTACATGGTTCTGGGTAGAGCCTCTCAATAACGATCCGCTTTGATGATGACCCAACTGCAGACAACAAGGGCGCCCGTTTCTTTTAACGGGGGAAAGAGAAGGCCTTGTTTTCGCCTGGGCTTACCGGAAACACAAAGGAAAACCACAACTTTGAGCCCTTTTCACAGCTGGGCTTAGAAACCGAAAGGAGAACCACCAGAGTAGGCTTCCCCTACTTTGAGACATACTCAGATGTCACCAGATACAGCTGTGGCCCTAGCACCCGAGTGACAGGTCCAGCCGATGCTACCGGGGCGGCGATCTATTTTGTGCACGGCGGCTGGTGGTGGTCTGGCAGCCGGATCCTCCGTTGCACTCTTTCTCCGTCGAATCGAACTTTTGGTTTCCGTTTTCCCCTCCCACTAACAATGCAACTGACACAAGAGGAAAACCGTGGAATCTTTCAGGTACTCACAGGTGCTAGGTTTGTTGGAGGGAGAGGTGTTTGCTTTCGTTGGGGCCTTACCCTCCTTTTCGGCGATCATGAAAGTGGATGGGGGCGACAGCCCGCCAACAGCCTTTGCCAGTTTCCGGGCTTCTTGGAGGGTAGTTTCCCTTCAGCCGCTTTGACCTACGGGTTTTCCGCTTGAAACCGCCACCTTTGGGCCTAACCGTTCATGTCAAGTGAGGACCTGGTACCACGCCTGCTTCCTGGAGTATTTCCTCCAAAGACCGCTAGCCGACGGTTGGGGCACGGGGGTGAGGAACATCTATGAACTTGAGAGGTCCGTTGCCTGTGCTGGACACGCCATCGAAATCAAAATTACCAGACTGAGGCTGTTGCCTCACCTTTTTCCCCTTTTGCCCTGTGGTTTGCCTTCATGCCCTGCTTGCAACGGGATCCGCCCATAGGCGTTCTGGTTTAGGTCAATCTGGTTGAATTCGATCTTCATCATACTTCATGCTCAGTTGATTGAACAGTATATTCTTGCTGCGACGGGGAAGTCGAAGGCGTGCACGTGGACATCTCTTGATTCTCGAGAACCTAGATAGGCTGAATCCATTTTTTAAAAATAAAATAACATAAAACACAATAAAAACATAACAAAAAACAAATAAAGGGACCCACAGGTGGCTTTCCGGTTGGATTCTCTTTAAAATCGCTTAAACAAGAGGTACCAGCTCCAAACAAACACACGCTCATGTGTCTTTCAGATGGGGCACCCGGTCCTGGGCTGGCCTTTCGCTGATAGCAACCATACTTCTGACTTCTTTGGTGTTTTCAAAAAGGGTTGTGGAAACCCTTCTGACTTCCTTTTGACGTTTGAGTTTGTTTTGGTTTCCGGTTGGTGTTTTGTCAGCAGGAGGATTCCTGGTCGCTTCCGTGGACTACCGGCTGACGAGTAGCGGCCACGTAGCGGCCGAGCTGGTGGCAGCCCGCTTCAATCTTAGCTTCGCTGTTGTCGTCTTTCTTCTCTTCTTTTTTTGTGGCTATTCACTGTTCATGTAGTTTTCAACATGTCTTTTGGTTCTAGTAGCTGCCAAAAAGAACAGGCTCAGTTTTTTGCAAGCCCATACCAAGGGTTGTGAAGATAGCTTCAGCTTCAACTCCCCTTACGGCCTTGAGGGGATTTTTTTTTGTGGAAAATCGACCTCACCCTGAGGTGTAAGTCTGCCCTCGGGGAGCGACATTTCAAGTTGTGCCCGCAGGCAGATGTTGCTGACGGCCTGCATTATCTGGTGGCCCACGCGAATGAGCTCGGCATCAACAAGAGCAGAGCCTCAGTTTTGAGATTGGACTGGCGAAGTCAGGAAAAGCCCCTGGCTAAAAAAAATCAGCCTTCACCAGCTGACACAAGGAGGGTCCTTGTGTAAAGCAGGTGGTTGTTGCATCCTTTTGTTCCCCTCTCAGGTGGCGGTACATACGTGCCCTTCTTTAGTCCCAGCACAGTTTGAGTTGCCGTAGTCGTTGGCAATCCCTTTGAGTTTGTGCAGCTGCAGCCAGCAACCACTGGATATTGCCCATTGCGAGGCATTTTTTGGGCCGAACTCTGCAAAAAGCGTTGACGCTTCCAACGTGGAAGGAGGTGAGTGTGCAAAGATGTAAGAACGTTGGCCTTTTTGGAATGGATCAATGGCCCTGCGGATGTGGCTCATTCCTTGCTTCCTTCCGGCCTTCCTTCCTTCTCCCTTTTTTTTCTCCCTACCTCCCCTCCGGGAAGCAAACCGATTTTCCTCTCTTGTCTTTGGTTTCTTTGTTGTTTTCTTTGTTTTCTGTCTGTCTTTCTTTCTTTGTTCTTTACCTCTTTGTCTCTTCTTCTTCGACATGTATTTGTTTTTGCCGGTTTGCCCTGGCTTGTTTTATGAAAGCCACTTTCCAGCAAGGCATCTTCGCCGTGGGCGAGTCCGCGGGGGGCCACTTGGCGGTCCTCTCCTCGCTGCTGCTGCCTGGGCTGGTGCCGCTCGCCGGGGCAGAAGCCGAGTAGAACAACGGCGGTGGAGTTGCACCAAGTTTTTTCTTTCTTCCGGATTTGCTTTCTATTTTCTTCTTCTTTTTCTCCCCCCGTGGTATTTGCACCATGTTTCTTTTTCCTTTCCGGATTTTCTTTTTTTTTCGTTTTTTTCTTTCCCCCCCCCCCCCCGTGGTTCACATGGCAGCTTTGACAGCATATTGGTGATCTATGCTTGTGGACATTTTTTGGGCATGGCTTCTTGGAGGCTTCCAAGGCTCAGGCCTTCAGTTCCGAGCGGGAAGGAAAAATCCACCGGTTTAGGTGATTTTACCCTTAAGGGCCAAAATTAACGGGAGTACTACCTGCAAGTGGGCTCGAAGTCGGGGATTGTTTTTGGGGCGCCCTGCGAAGGGTATTCCTTTCACGCGCCTTCCCTTTGAGAAGTGTTTTCTGAATGACTATGGATCTGGGCATTCTTTTTTCCACGAGGGGGGAGAACAAGATCTTCCATGAAGTTCCCTCAATTGGGGACTCCTTATTCCAGGTTGGTGTCAACAGCATGTTGAGGTATGGGTTTTGGAGGTTGAAGGTTATTTATATAAGGAGTATATGCTGCGTTACAAGCACAACAACTCATGGCACAACATCCATAGCTCCCAAAGCCCATACCTGAAAATGCCAACTTGGCAGTGGCTTCAAGTATTGTGTGTGCGGCCAAGCTCGAAGCTCCGGATCTTCAACCTCCAACAATTTGTGCCCACCTCACCCCTCAAGGAGTATCCGCTCAGGCAACCCTTGTGGTTTGGCTGGGTGTTTCTGGGATTTGAATTCTGGTCCTTGAGGGTGCAGAACAAGTTTGAAGCCGCGCGCGCTCCAAACGACCCGCACCTCCCCCGCACCCGAATCCTCCACTTGGTGGCACCAAAGGCCCATCCGGTTCCAAACGCTTTTGAAAGGTCTTTCAGCTGGTTCGGTCCGTCGGCGAGTGGGGGGTTTTTCGGTTTTTCACCCAAGAATCAGATTCGCTTCGTTTGCAGGGGATCTTTTCAAACGGACAGCCCTGGAAGGAGTGTAAGCAAACATGGTGAAGTATAAAGGTGTCCTTTTCGGTTGAGTTGGTGGAAAAATAGAGGGCGGTTCCTGGTTTACCTGGTGGTTCAATCATCCATTCTCCCAAAAAGGACACCTACGTGGCGAACGGATCCGAATCCACTTGCCACAGGCGAGGGGTGGTGGACCTTTGGGGCATCCAGGACCTGCTCCGAGGCCGGGTTTTTGCGTCGACGTTTTTTTCTTTTTTTGCTGTAAGTAGTCTTCCAAAAGGGGACTTTGCGGAGAACCCTGTTTGCTAGCTGGAGGTGTGAAAAAAGTCAAGCACAGGAATCTCCTGGGATCATGTTTAAAGGGGGGCGATGAAGAGCCTTTGAGTCAACGCTATGCGGGTTCCAATGAACCTCCGGCTTCCTGCCTGCAAAGGACAGTCACGTTTGGAACCCGTGTAAAGCATGGCATAAGCTGTGGCGAAAGGGGATGTTGCAACCAACATGAGGGAATTATCTTCACTGTTCTTGGCATGTTTTTTAGTCTTGTTAGTTTTTTGGTTCTGTTCATTTTTACTGGGGGTCTGCAAAAAACAAAGTTTTTCGCTACCATACCAAGAGCAGAGATTGAATTCGCCATCTACTTCCACCCAACTGTAGGTAACCAGGCACCAGGTGTTTGTCACCTTTTTTGGTATACATGATGGCTTTCTTTTGGTTACTTTGTCAACAACGGAGCACCCTAGTCAGAAGACCCCCCAAAACAGATATCATGTCCGTACTAAAAGGGGAGCCATCCCTGATTAGTACGGTCCTCCGGATTAATCCAAAGAACCATTTTTTTGGGGGACTGCTTCTTTCACCCAACTGCAAAAAGAGGCGGTTTTCCACTCCAAAAGAACCACAACCGAGGGTGCAATGGCATGTGAAACCACTGCATATTCGAAGGTGGCAAACATTCCGGGGATGATAAACCAACATGAGTTGGAATTGAACTCGCCATCTGCTTGCACCCAGCTGTACAATGTCAACTTCGAATTAATGCGGGGCATTCTGCTAGTCATGGGAAACTAGACGTCATTTCCTTACCAAGCAGGAGCCACCCTTGATTAGTGCGGTCCTGTGGATTAATCCGAAGTGAGCGTTATTCTGGAAACCGCTTCCTTCACCCAACTGCAACAAGAGGCGGTTTCCACTGCAAAACCAAAGAAACAAAACCGGAGGGCGCAATGGACTGAAACCACTGTGTAATCGATTGGTTTCAGCAGGGAATGAGTTGGAATGAGCCCTATTAAACCACCCCCAACAATGATTTGGGATGCAATGGCAGATGGCACCGGCTGTATATTCGATTGGGGCTGCTTCTTTCACTTCCATTTGCTTAAGAGTAATTTTTTCCTTGTTGGTTTTTAAAAGGAGTTTATCACTACTGGACTTTTTTTTTTCCATTTGGACTTCACCAAATGGAAGTTCAGCCGCAGGCCGGGCTTCTTCGATTTCGAAGAACTGGCCGGAGGCGTATGACCTGCTCTGCGGCGGCTCTCCCGACACAGCCCCAGGCCCCTGGGCCCCTTGGTCCCCTGGGCCCGGGAGCACTGGGAGCACTTTTTCGGCGGGAGGACCCTGACATCTCGAGCTTCTTTTTTTTTGGGGGTTATGGGGGAACCCTGGAATGGAACCCTGGAATTTTGAACCCTGGATGTGTTTTTTTTGGATTGTGGGCGATTTTTTTTGCGTTTTTTTTTGGGGGGAGCCCTGGAATTCGCAGATCACCCTTGGTGGTCTGGATGGGTGAGTTTGTTTTGGTTTGGGGAACCCCGTATTTATGAGCCTTCGTTGGTGGTTTGAGCTGGCTTGGATTTGGATTTGGACTTGAAGCCCTTCTTGTGGGAAGAATGGGAAGCTAGCCTCCCAGCCATCGAGCCAACCACCCAATCCAGGGAAGCTGAAGAATTCTGGTTGCATGTTTTTCTAGGACTGGAAGGCATCCAGGTGGCTGGAGTCCTTTTGCATTGGCTCGAGGCCAGGTGTGAAGGACCTACAAAGCTGAGTCTTGTCTCTCGGAAACGCCCCCGGTAGGTTTGGGCCTCTCTTTTTTTTTTCTCGGGGGAGGGGGAGGGGGGGGGAGAGGTGGTTTTACTATCACCCATTGAGACACATGTCAAGTCAGTACTGTGTCAGTACTCCCTCGGGACGTTTCAAGAGGAATGGGTTTGTCTCCAAGAGGCAGCTTGGAAAAACGGTCGGGCATTGTATTTTTTTTGGTTCGTTCAGGTTTACCCTAAGCAAACCAAGAAAGGTCCCGTTGAGCCCTGAGCCAGGTTGCTTCAGCAACATGAGCACCACTGCCCACGTCACAGCTCAGCCCGAAGCCCAGGACACAAAGTTCTGGGCGTGAGGCTTCTTTATTTCAGATGCCCAAAGCCGACCTTTTGACCTTTTGGTTGTCCTGTTGTTTGGTCCATATTTAGTGGAGGTCCCAAAAGGGTCAACCTTGTATTTCCAGGTCCTTTGGGGAAGTAAGTTATATATCTCCCTGCGCCAAAAGGAAGCTCACCTTAAATTGGCCCAGCTTGCGATGTGTACAACCACCAAAAAAAGGGGACATCTACGGAGCCCTGTGTTCGCGGTGGCTTCTCGAAGCTTTCCTGAAGCCGGTGGGTCGAAATGTCGCCGCCCTACAAGTTGTAGCGAGCTCACCGATTCGGGGTGGATGAAGGTCCTTTGGGGGTTCTATTATTTCTCCGCTTTGGGAATCGCAGCGGTTCGCCCAGTGCACCTGATTTATGCTGGTTGAAGCACATGGAGTTGGGTTGATGCCTGCCTTCAGGGCCTGAACAAATAATCACTGGTGTCAATCATCTCTTTCAGTTGGGCACCTTAGTTGGCAAGTTGGCAAGCTTCCTGTTGGCAGTTGTAGGAACTGTGTGCGACTCTTTGGCTCACGCATCTAGGTCAACGGTTTGATCAGTCCCTGCACATTGCTCCAAGCTATGTTCAGCTGAACGTTTGGTGGCTTGCGTTTGCTTGGGATGAACTATGGGCGTGTGACTGTCGAAATAGGGAAGCCCTGAACAGGGGCATTGGTTTCTTGTCAAGAACTTCCCCCACTCACCCGACCACATTCCAGGGAAGAACTACGACAGTTGAGCATTTTGTTTACCCGTTTTTTTAGCTCATCAGGGGTTTGGTGGTACAGCCTTTTGATTTTGGCTTCCCTTTCAACCAACCTAAGGGTGCCAACTCCAAGGAAGACAAGCCCAACTTCAGGCCCTGCGGATTGGCTCGGCGACGGGTCCAGAAAGGGGCGAGGTCCGCTTCTGGGTTGTCGCAATCTCCCCGGCGGTTTGCAGTTCGGATTCCTGATGTCAGCTATCACACGCAATCACTCACCAGCTCGGATTTTCCCGTTTCGACGCAGACATCTGAGCGCATCTTGCTTGCTTTGAGGGCACTTCTTGGGGATGGTTTCGCCAGGGGATCCAAAGGCTTCCTCTCACCGCGAACCAGTCCCAAAGCAGCGGCGCCAAAAAGGGGGCGGGTTTTCCCCGCCGAGGTCGCCGCCGATGCTTTTGCTCCACGGGGAGGCGGACGCATGGCTCAGTCCGTCCGAAGCAACAAGCAACAAGCACGGCGCGGGGGCGAGGTCCAGGGCATCCCGTTTTCATTGGGGGGGGTTTCCCCACTCCAAATGGACTCAAGCGCAGAAAAAAAACATATATATATATATATATCTATGACCCCCTTCTTTTGAACGGTCAAAGGTAGATCTTGGCCTCTATTTCGATCTTTGTCTTGACTCGGTTTTGGGAAGACGTGTCACTTACTGCAGCTGTTGTGAGCCCAGCAGCTCAGGAGCTTGGGTTTCCAGCTTGTTTCAGGGATGCGATGACCATCGGCCTGCGGAAGTCCAAGAAACAAACACCAGCTGACGCCGGAAGATCTGGGCTGCAGCTTGGTGGGCCAGAAGAAAAACAAAGGCAAAGAAGTCCATCAGGCGGAATTTCACCTGTCTGGTTTCCCCCCTCGAAACAAGAAATGGTCTCTCCCTCAGCCAGATTGTGGGGGACCTTAACCCCATCCCTTCGTCTGGAGACGAAAGTTTGGCTGTGAGCCTTTCCTTCAACCCCAGCAAGTAGCAAGTTTTTTTTTTGAATATTCAGTCCCAGTTCTTCCCTGGTTCATTTAGTTTAACACTTTTTTGTGAAAACCAAAAGTTTGGACTTCTTTGGGCCAGTCCACTCAGGAAGTGAGCGGGTGTTTTCTGACCATGTGACCAGGGGCCAAGGGTTGAGCACATCGGCTGAGCCAACTCAAAGTGAGCTTCCAAGAAGGTTGTCCCTTCCAAACCACCTCCAAAAACCCCCCGCGCCTAGCTTTGGATCTCCAACATATCAGCTCATACAACAAGTTGCACCTTTCCAGTTTGAGTTTGGAAAGGGGGCTTGCAAACGCTGTTGCTGATATTGCCGTCGCTTCAACAGGGGTGTGGGCTCAAAAAACCGGCCCACCCAATCCCCCCTAAACCCCTAAACCCCTAAGCCCACGCCACTCGCCCGCGCCGCATGCGGCGGCGGCGCATCGGATCGCGACGGCGAATCCCGAGGACAGCGTCGTGGCGCCGGAGCACGCGACGCTGCTGGCCGCCCGCCTCTCGGAGTTCCAGGCGCGGCCTCGGCGTTTCGCAAGACGCAAGCTGGACACCCAAGGGGTCGAAGCGGCGCTTTTTTTTTTTTTATTTTTTCTTTCTTTTTTTTTGGGGGGGGGGAGGGTAAGCCCCAGGTAAAATCATGGCTAAGAAATGGCGCATGTCCTTGGTTCAGCCCTAAAAATGGGTGCCAGGGTCAAGCCTAGGTCTGCCTTGCAGCCTTGTAGCCAAACGTGGGGCAAATGTGGGGCGCGCATCAGAAAAGGGATGGCGCGAGCCTTGCTTAAAAAGCCTGCAGCCCGCCCTTTTTCAGGCTTGCTGACCACTTAGTTCACCAAACATCCAACTTCTGAAAGTGGCCCCGTAAAGGGTTCCTTCCTGAAAGGAAGCACGAAACCTCCCAAGCCGGAAGCCTCATGTGCGATCCGGTGGTGGGTTTGGCAAAATGTGTGTGTCTTTTTCTTGGCCCCGTTGTGGCTGGATTAAAGGGGAACCAAGAGGAACACTCCTTTTTGGGGACAAGCCCAAATGATACCATCCATGTGATCCATCCAAGGGGTCACGAGATCTATGGAACCGAGATCGAACCATATCGGAGCCAAACAGAAGAACCAATTCCATGTGATCTCGCATCCCCGGCGACCCTTAGTTGGTGGTTTGAATTGGTGGTTTGGGGATTTGTGAGCTGGCTTTTTTAGAGGGTTCATGGGGTTTCCCATGAAAAACCACCCAAGCCACCCAAACGGGCAGCTGACGGACGCGCCCCGGGTGCATCCGCAGGTCCCCCATGTCTTGGCTCTGGCGCCGGGGCAGCAACACGGGTGCTGGGGCGTGCAGCAGGGGCCCTGCATCCAGTGGCTGCTGCTGGGAGCCCTGGAGTTGAGGAGCGAAACAATCCTCTTACATCTTAACCCCGGATTTATCAATATAACCTAATTCTACCGGGGGGTGGGGGGTTCCCCTCCAAAAGTGACAGCCCCCCCTATGAATAAACTGGGCTTGATTAATCTGGGGTTAAAATTGGCATTACTAATACTGTAACCCCGGATCTGAGTAGAACGCTGGTTGTTTTGAGAGATTCGGGTGTCCCCTTTTAGTACGGGTCTTACAAATCCGGGGTCAACTTTACTGTGGACGGATGCGTCCAGTTAGGATGGATAAAGCCCTATGAATATTGGGATAATCCACCTGCCAACGGTGCAGGATTTTGTCCATCCTCGGCAGTTGCCCCAAAATAGCGATCGAGCCTCCACATATTCAGCTTCCCTCAAAAAATGGTGGAGGTTAAAAGGGAGAACCCCCAAGAAACGACCTCCTAAAACACTTGGTTTGTATTTTCCGTCCACCACCAGCTAAAAGGGGGCTTGCACCGTTTCGAGAAACATCCCCGGTCCCTTCAAGAGTCCAATTTTTGGTCAGCGAGCCCAAGAGCTGGATGCTCAAGGGGAAGCCACGGGCGCCCTTGACAAGGGCTTTATGGGTATGGGTCGAACACCAATTGGGATGTTCACTGGGGGTACGGGATTTTGGCCCATGGCCAAATGAGTCAGCTAGGGCTCCCGATATGGGTATGACCGCAGGTTTTGGTCCTTTCCATGTACCAGGGCTCCAGCCCTATGGTACCTATTTTTGACCCACAGCCATATGGGTCCAGCATCAAACAAGTTGTGCCAAAGGCTGAATGTACACGTCCACGTATGAACTCCTGGTACGAACCCCTAGTTTACGGGTTGATTTTCTCAGTTAGTTATGGCTTAATTGGAAACCAGCCCCCAAATCCAGAAAACGGTTTAGGTGTGGCTTTTGTGGATCCACCCCTGTAGAATGTTAAAAGAGTACAAACAAATTGCCAACAAAAGGCGCATCCAAACCGTTTTCTAGACCAACGGGTCCAAACTGGCCATGGGTTCATATATGGACCAAAAAATCAGCCTTTGATTATATTTCAGCAGCAGTGGAAGCCTGAAGCCTTGTTAAAGGGGCAATCGGGTACTTAGGGAGTAGTACGCCTTGCTCTAACTCACTTAGGAGACTTTATACCCATGGCAAGTTGGTTTTTAACCATGGGTATTACCCACTCTGTGAGTACCAAATTGCTCTTTAAGTTTGAAGTGATGAGTGATAATTCAGCGATAATTTTGGGAGTCTTACCAGGTGCAAATCAACCAGCTGCCCTATTCCGACCCAAAAGTGTGTCAAAGGCAGACAAAGGCAACCAGCGAAGTTTCTGAAGCAATTGTCGGGTTCATCGAAGCTGCTGCTCTTTGTTCTGCTGTCTGCGGCCGGCCTGCGCTGGATGTTTTATCTTTGCTTGTTCTTTGTTGTGTTTTGTTTTTTGGCTGGTTCTTTTTCCCATTCCTCCAGCAATCGCCACATTTCAGAAGGCCACGCGTGGCAGGATTATCTCACATCATCCATGCACTAAAACATGTTCATCCATGTGTTTGGGAGATGCCTCACCAATCAGTTTTGTGGGTTAATTTTCCTCACATTCCATCATCTGTTGGTTTTGGAGGCTGCATCTAACATTTTTTGAGTTTTTTTTTTTTGGGGCGGGGGGGTTCGGAGGTGTTTTTTTAGTTGGCCATCATCCTTCCGTTGTTTTGACGAGGTTGCATCTGAAATTATGTCATGACTCAGTTTGTTTTCTGACATTTTATCATCCATTTGTTTTGAGCCAGGTGTACCTAAAATTCTGGAATCCCACCATCTTTTGTTTGTAAGTGCTTTCATTTGAGCCTCTTCAATCTATTTGATGTTGAGGCACTTTGTATGCATTCCATCATTGATTAGCTTCAGGAACACTTCTTAATCCATTTTTTGTGGGTACTTCATCTGCCCTATTTATGTGTTTTTAAGGTGGTGTCATCTCCATTTGTTGAGGTTGCGCTTTCTAACTTCTCACATTCTATCTTGCATTTGGTTTTGGTTCAATCCATCATCTATTTCTTTTCAGGTGGTTTGATCTATTCTCTACCGCCTCTGTTTCAGGTGGGCTTTTCTACTGTTGTTGTTCAATCATCCATTTGTTCTTGGTGGTTTTAATCCAAACATCCATTTGCTTAAGAACCATTGTTATTTTCAACTGTTGGATTTTAAAAAGGAGTCTATCACTACTAGACATATCTTGTCCGGTGGACTTCAGCAAATGGAAGCAACCGTCCATGTCCTTCAGGTGCCTTCAACCTGGTTTTCCATTGCTCACCAGGTTGCATCAGAGAGAAGCCAACCGGGAACGCTCCATCTTGGGTTTTGATCAGGTTGGGCTTTCCTTCCAGAAAGTTGAGTCCAACCTCAAGGCACACTTGTAACGCAACTCTGTACCCCAAACTGGATGCCCCCAAACATGTGCCTTTGGGCTTTTGCTTCAAGACCAGAAGGCAGAGGTAAAGACACGCAACCGAACGCAGAGCCCAAACAAGAACACCGGCCCCGCCGGCCCGGCCCATTTGGCCAAATGGGGACGTCCCAGGTTTGCGGCCGAGCGGTTCTTCACCTGGGCTTTGCGTGACGACAAGTGAGTACACGACAAGTGATCCTATGGATGGTGACTTCATTTTCAATAGGTTTTACAGTCAGCAAGCTTATCTTATGTTGCCTGTGGGTTAAAACATCCACCCTGCGCGCAGGCAGGCGGGCAGCCAGTACATAGTTTTGCGTCTTTTGGTGGGGAGGGGCCCACGAAAGGTGGTCTCCCTTCTGACACGCCCCTGAAGGGGACCCCACAAAACCACCCCTCCACCCCCCAATCAGATCCTTGGGAAAGACTACGCTCGATCATTTTTGGAGGTGTGTTTGGGGGGTAGCTTGCTGGTGCTCAGCAGGGAATGACCTTCCGGGTGTTAGGAATGAAACGTTTGGGGATTGAAGGCAACCATACGGGACAGTTGTTCGGGGTCATTCCATTTCTCATTCCCTGCTGAGAACCAGCTAGTTACTAGTTGGGGGGTAGGAGACGTTTTATGACCTTTGGTCTTCTCTGGTGAGTTGGCAAACCTTAATGTTGTTTGTAGGTTTCTTCATCACTTGAGTCAAGGCCCCAGCAGTTTCCTTTTTTTCTGGCCAGTCAACTCAGGAACCAGTTGTGTTCTCAGAAAGGTGCTGAGCAATAATATGGATGAGGAACAAATGCGGTTTACCAGCAGGGCCGTCCCCGAGAAAGGTACCAACTCCGAAGAACAGTGCACGCGCCCGATCAGCTCGGGGCTGGCGCGGTCCAAAGAAGACCAGGCCTTTATCAAAAGTGGACATCGCGGCAATTTGTGATTTCATGCTCAGGGTTTCTCAAAGCGACTGGGGGGTTTCCCCCTTGAAATCACCAATGCTGTGGATGGTTGCGAAATCCTGCACCTAAGAAGCCCTGGACAACAAACCTGATGGTATCAACCCTGGTTTCATTTCTTGGTTCGCGTCCATCCACAGTGGGATATGGTCACCAAGTTTTGCCATGCCTAGGCGACAGCGCGCGGCCCTTGGGCATCTGCTCGTGGCCAGGGTTGTAGGTTGTCTGTTTGTTGTCTGTTTGTTGGCTCGCTCGCTTGCTTGTCTGTCTGTTTGTTTCTCTGCTTGTGCTTCACTTTTAGCAGGGAAATCACCTGTGGAATCATCACTTTTGGAGGAAAACACTCCCCTATGAAACGAAACTGGGGTTAAGTTGGGGTCGACATTAGGGAGCCGCCAGAAACAGAGTTTCCCGTTTGCTAGCGTCCCAAGGGTCGAAGGTCCAACGTTCGCTTCAAGTTGCCGCCCGCCCCCGGCGTTCCGACGGCTCTGAGGGCAGGCAGAGGCTGTCCGACCAATCCGCGGGCACTCGAACCGAGAGACCCCTAAGAGCTCCCTCGAATAGATGAATAGGTTCAGGTAACCCGACAAGGGTGGTTTGAATTGGTGGTTTGGATTTGGACTGAATGCATTAGTATCCTTTTTAGGTGAGTTTGGTCCAAAACATGGTTGCACTGGTTCAGATGGAATAGATTCAGGTATCCCGTCGGTGGTTTGGATTGGATTTGGATTTGAACCCCTGGTTTTTGCAGAGGGTTCATGGGAAACCCCTCCTTCACCAAACCACCAATCCAAATCCCCATGATCAGCACACTCACGTGGCACCAGTCTTGGCAAAGCTGGCCACAGAAGCTCCTGGTGAAGATGAGGGTTGGTGTCTCTGGATTCTCCTGACTACAGGTAAATGAAGTTTGCGGAGAAAAAACAGGGTCGCCTGCAAAGTGCGGGATCCCTCTAGCAGGAGCCCCGGATTCAGAACCCCCTGGCTTGTTGATAGGGGGTTGGGGACCCCCGATTGAGTGGGATTCAGACCACTTTTGGGGACCCCCGATTGAGTGGGTTTGTTGATCTGGCGTTCCCGCTGTTCTATCAACCAGTGCTTTTCCTCCATCAACTTGACTCCCGCGGCGCGCATTGGTGGGACCCCGATGGATTCTGGCACGGAGGCCGGCCGCTTAGCCCTCAATTCGGTTGAGAAGTGCGATGACCCCTGGCCAACGCTCGTCGTGGAAGCGGGTCTCGGGGTTTGGCCACACCCCAAAAGGAAAGCTTTCGTCCCGATCGTTAGCTTCCACGATTGGGAGTGGACTGTGGCACGTGAAGTCGTGCCGCAGGCAATGGGGTCCTGAGGTTGGAGGCACTGGGATTGTAGGGCTCACAGGGCCAAAAGTCAACACGAGAGCCATTTGTACCGGAAGAATCCGCAAGGGTTGACCGTGGACAAAAGAACGTGTCAGCGACCCACCAAAACGCACGTCGAAGTTTCTTGGAAGGTTGGTGTTGACGTGGGCTGCCTGGTTGGCTTGTTCAATGTCCGGGAATGTTCCTTGACGAGTTCTCTTCAGGCCTGAGGCTCTCTTGGAATCCGCAATTTTTCATGGGATCCCTTACAGTGCAGCTTGCAAAATTGACACGTGGGGAACATCCATTTCGCATGGGATGGCTCAGGGTCCGGAGCGCTTAGGCTGCAGAGTCTACGGCAAGGCCGGGAAGTGCTCGGAGCTTGCTTGCTGGGAAAGAAGTGCTGCAGCTGTTGCTGCTGCTGCTGCTGCTGCTGCTGCTGCTGCTGCTGCTGCTGCTGCTGCTGTTGCTGTTGTTTGGTGCTTGGTTCATTGATGGTTTGTGGCAGGTGGGCCTGAGGACATGTTGGATTGACAGAGGTCACCACACGTTTCCGTTTTTCGGTTCTCCCCCCGAGGTCACCTTGTGGCAACACTTAGCTGAGTTTCCTTGAAACATGTTCAGAACCCAAGCGAAAACTGACTGCCTCTTGTCCGTTGCCCAGGCCTGCAATTGCTGGCATCCATGTGGCCCGCTCCCTCAGTGCGGCTTCTGGAAGCTGCCACTTTCAGCATTTTTCAGCTCTGCTGTCAGCTCTGTAGGTTGGTAGGTTGGCATTCCGTGTGCTCTTTGCTTGACTCGTGGGTTGCTTGGTGCACTTGAGTTCCCTTGCGCTTGACTCTTGGGTTGCTCAGATTTGCGCGCGCTGGCTGCAGCATTTGCGCGTTTCAAGGCTGAGTGTAGGGCAGCTACCCATGAAAAAGGGCGCCACCAAAGGCGCGGTCGCAGCGGCGGTGGGGCTGCCCTTGGCCTGCGACATGCTCGCCTTCACGTCCCCGTCGTCTCAGCCTGCACCACGGGTCGGCACGAACGCCGGCACAGTCGCGGGGGCACGCGCGGCAGCTGCTGCGTCAACCTCCTCGGGGGTGGCCGGGCCCGTCGCGACCGCGTCAGTGCTTGCGGGCGCCGCGTCCGTCCTGGGAAAGAGGCGCAGGGCTGAAAATCGTTGGAGGGGGCGTCCCTCAAAAACAACACCCCAAAAGCATGTAAAACCATTTCCCCCCCACCTCCACCCCCCACCTCCACCCACTTCCCACCCCCCACCCCCCCACCACCTCCACCTCCACCCACCTCCACCCGCTCTCCCCCACCCCCAGGCGCGCCAAGGGACCGAAGGCCAGCCCCACGGCGCGGCTCAGCACCACCACCGTGCTGGAGAAGGCCGCCACCGAGGCCACGGAGCCCGGGAAGATCCTGGAGCGCTACGCGCCTCCGCTTCAGTCGGCGGGGGCGGAAAGTTCGGCCGGCGGGTTTGGGGGGCGGGTTTGGGGCGGTTTGGGAGAGAAAGACTTGGTCTTTAGCAGGGCTCCTGAAAACAGATCTCCATTTTGCCACCATTTGAAACATGTGGCTTTTTCCGCCAAAATAAATTGAGATCATTATTTGCAAGGCAATGTTCAGGTGTATAATGTAAGGATCCCTGTTTTTAAGGCCCGGGAAAAGAAAAACCCGGGAAACCCTTGGTGGTCTTTGCCTCAAAAAGTGTGGGAATGAGAGCCCGTGGGTCCCCTCAATGGCCTCCCATGGTTTCGAAGTGGTGTACACTTTATGTAGAGGGGGCCCTGCCGAGCCGAGCTTAAAACAACCGTTTTTCCCTAAACAAGCCTAGCTTAAATTGGGGTGCCCTAAAAAACGACCCCACCCCCACCGTTTTCCCCCCAGCAGCTCTTCCAGCTCTGGATTTTGCCTTTGCCCAGATAAGCTCCGGAGTGGTTCGAGGCAGCTTTCACGGAAGGTTCCGGAGATTCGGGTCTGAGGGCTTCGAGAAGGATGAAATCTTTTAATTGGAAAGTAAAGGGGATGTCGAAATCCATTTTTGGGATCACAGAGCTCCGGAGTGGTGCGGAGCGGCCCTAAGATTCCAGAAGGGTTCCTGGGCTGGTGATGCGGAATTGTTATCAATGGACAAGTTAGCTGAGAGAAGAACAGGCTCTGAATGAGCAACATCAAAATGGCCACTGCCCCTTTGCGCCACATTCACAAATCGCCTAGACGCAAAAATGGACAACAAACACACCAAACGTGCCGTTTTCCAAGTCCGAAAAGACCCAGGTTGACATTGCTGGGGGTCTCCCCCACAACTACTTTAGTGTTGCAGGTACGCCGGCTGACTATGAGGCAGATCTGATAACCAGCACCCTCCAAAGGGCGGTCCATTTGTACCTGCAGTCCATCTTGGGGGTTCAAATGAGAAAAAAATAAACATTTGTTGGGGGCTGCTTGGTGGTCCATTTGTACCCAACATGGCTCACACAAGTACAAATGAACCGCTCTTGGAGCATAGGTGTGGCGGTTTAATCACCTACCAGGGAAACCCATCTATTTGTCCTAAAAGGACACCTATGCCTCCAAGAGGCATCCGTACCCCCTTCAAAATGCAATTGGGGGAGGGGGGTAACCCCTGGAATTCCATTTAGGGTGAGCCATGTTCCCTTTTTGTGGGGAAGACTGAGTAAATGGAATTGTGGGACCCCCCTCCCCCTTAAGGTAGGGGGATGCTGGGTAGACTTAGGATACATTTTACATTTTACCAGTGACTCAAAGTGAAGCAAGCAATAAAATATACATTCTATAACTGGTTGCCTAACTCTAATCATGGGATGCTGGAACTCCCCCTGCTCCGTGCGGCCCGGATGTGGTTTTCCCAGGTCAAGGACAAGGGCGGCAGCCGGGTGCTGCGGAAGCTGCTCATCGCCAACAACGGCATGGCGGCCACCAAGGCAATCCTGTCCTTGAGGCGCGATTTCCATCGGGGGGTCCCTAGATTTCCCGTTGTGGCGGTTTAAAACATCACCAATTTGGCCCATGAAAGGTGAGTATCCCTTGGTGAGGATGATGTTTTAAGGGGACACATAGGGAGCCCTGATCAAATCGACGTCGACTCCCCCGTGCTAAACGAAATGGCCCCCCCTTACAACCCAATGAAGCATTAAACTTTTTGTAGGGGTCAGCTTGGCCTGCCAGCCACAATGTGGGAAGAACAATCGCATTTTCCTGCCGATTTAGCGGATGCCCTCCGAAAACCGTTTTTTTTTGGATGTATCCTACCTGAACCCCTGGCTCATATGCAGTGGCTTCCCTTCACCACTGGGCGCCTGCGGGATTTCAACGCTGCGAATATTTGTTTTGCTCCAGGCAGTGGGCGTACCTGGAGCTGGGCCTGGACAACGCCTTCGAGTTTGTGGTCATGGCCACGCCTGAGGACCTAGAGGCGAACGCGGAGTTTATCCGCCTGGCCAACTCCTATGTGGAGGCCATCGGGCCATCGGGTCGGCTCAACCCGGATCTGCCGTGTTGATGGGTCGCCATCTTTTTCCGCATCTGCATATGGCGAGCTCACCCGGGTGTAAAACGAGCTCGCCATGGTAAGAATCCTTTACTTTTTGATCCCGTGGAGGCCATGGGTCTGAGAGTCGGGCAGTCGGGCATGTCCGATTCCACCGGGTTGATGAATAGAATAAAGAGTGGGGGTCGGCATCTTATTCATATCCGTACAAAATGTGTGGCAAGTTTATTGGGGGGTAAAACAAGCTCACCGTAAAGATCCTTTTCTTGGGGATTTCCCTTATTTCAGGTTGCAAGATTTGCAGATACAATCTTTAACAATTCGTTTCCCTTGGGAAGGCCTGGGGCGGCCTAAACTGAGTTCCAGCCAGCGGTTTCGAATCCCTCCTCAACTCGAAGGCCAGTCACAGCCGGCCACTTACCCCCAGAATGAGACCACCCCACTTACAGTTGGATGTGAGTAGACTTCACACGGTTCTTGCCATGTTCTGGGTTTTTGTTGTTTGTTCTTCGGGTCTGTTCGTTTTTAGCACGGGGCTGCACCAAAAACGGAGCTCCGCTGTTTTTTTTGGCGAGCCCATAGCTTCAAGGGTCGGAACGTGAGCAGCGACGGATGCGGCGTCTTTTTTGGGGTTGGGATGTCTCTCCGGTGCGCTGATTCACCGCATCCCTTCTCGGGGGAGGCAAAAACAACGTGTTTGGTGCTGGGCCCCCCAGAGGTTGTGGTGGACCAAAAATTTGGTAACCCCCAAAATGGGTTGCCCTGGGATGGGAAAAGCATGGACCAACACCTGCCATTGTGGCATTTTGACCCACCCTTCTAAAACGACCAGAGCGGTTGTTTTTCACAGCGGTCACTGGATGTCCCGCTCGAAAGTTGCAATTCACTGAATTGCAACGCTGAAGGTTCAAGGAGGACATGGAGGGATCCCCTGTTACCCTGTTTGATGGTATCAGCAAGCCCAGCAGGGCTTGAGGCTCACAAAAAAACGAAGCCTTAGGAGTCGGGCATCAGAAAAACCGGTCAACATCTCAGGTGCCTGGGGGCAAGAACGTGAACAACTACGCGAATCTTGGCTGCCATTGTTGGGTGTGTCTTCTTTTTTTTTTTTTAAGTACCCCCAAATAGATGTTTTTTTTTCCTTTTGGCTTTCCTTTAAAACCACAATTTGGGGGGTATGCTCCCAAGAAGACCCCCCCATTTGATTGGACTCCACAAACAAATAAAAGGAAAAAGGAGTTTCCTCTATGCTTTTTGGGCTCCTTCCGTCAATCTGTAGGGGGATAGTCTTCAACCAGTTGGGGGACTTATCTTTCGCTGACCCACAGACTCTGTTTTTGTTGCGTGCTTTTTGCGCTGTTGATTGCGCAGGTGACAACAGCCACAAGTTCCTTTTCCTTTGGGCTTTCTTAAAACACAACCTAATCTTTGGTGCATGTTGCCAAGGGATGTTAGGACTGAATTACTTTTTGCCGACAAAAACCACTAAAAGCGAGTAATGTTTCGGCTTTCCCACTAAATGTTTGCCCTTTCAAGTGGCAAGAGCACCGATTCGGGTGTGGAACGGGCTCATGATGATGTCGGTCCTTTAGAGGTTACGTGACGTGATTATAGCCATGATCAACTGGGGTTCGGGCCCTGACCATGGTTGCAACCAACTTGCGTGGTTTGGGATTTGGGAGTTTTCGGCCATAAGCATGGGGTTGACCCAACAATCTAAGACATCAGAAAGCCCGGAGCCCTTGTTTTGGTAATAAAACCAACGTCCAACTTGAGCATTTTTGGACTTGTGAGTTTTCAGGAAATCCTTGCCCAACAATCTGAGACACCTGCAAAGCCGGACGTTCTGCCCATTTCCTTGGTAGGGGGGCTTGGGGGTGGGGCTGGGGTCATTATTTTGACCGCTTCTAGGGGTCATCAAAGTCGGAAACCCGGGCCTTTTTGGGGGAAAAGGGTTGGTTTGAGCCTGAAAGGAACGTGGACTTGATCGTGGACATCGCCAAGAGCCAGGGCGTGGACGCCGTGTGGCCGGGCTGGGGCCACGCCTCCGAGAACCCCAAGCTGCCGGATGGCCTCAAGGAGCCGCGAGCGAGCCGCGAGCGAGCGGAGCCGCGGAGACGGGGAGACGGGGAACGCTGAGCTCTTCCCGCTGCGGGAAAGCTCGGCCCGGCGCGTCTTTTTTTTCTTCTTCTTCTTCTTCTTTTTTTCTCCCCTTTTCTGGGCCACTCGGCGTAGTTTTTTTTTTTCCCTCGTGTCTGGGCCAAGGGTAGCTACAGCCCATGGGTTTCTGGGTTTTTTGGTGTCTGGAAAACAGGAGCTGCAGCCATGTTCAGGTCGGGTTGGGTTTGGGAGATACTTTGCGAATTCCTTGGGGGTGGACCTTGCTTGAGAAGGCGCAGACATCGTTGCAGATGCCCTTCCTGGAAAATCCAAGTTGTTCAATGGATTCCTCAGATCTTGTGGTTCTCCCACCTTGTGGAAATCCCAAGGCGTCTAATTCTTCCACCATGACTTGGCAAATGGACGCTGGGGTTCAGCTACCGCCATTGAAACAAAGGGGGTTAAGATAACCACCATTAGTTGCCGTGGAGTTTCATCCTCCAAATTGGGTCCAGGAGCAATTCTTTGGGAACACAGGAGCTACATCCATGTTCAGGTTCGGACTGGCGGTTTGGATTTGGATAAGCCTTGGTTCTTGTGGTTGCAAAGGGGGAACCAGACTGGACCTCCAAAGCACTGGGCTCCAAAGCACCAAGAGGTCAGAGGGAAGCTGAAGCTTCCGTTTTGTTTGGGTTTTTGATTTTTCAAACATGGCATATATCATATAGATTGACACAAGTCCCTGGAATGGTTCTCTCTTGGAATAAGTTGATTTTGATGTTTCCATGGCATGAAAGGGAATCGATTTCACACTGCTGGAACGTTTTTTTTTTGCAAGGGGATTTTCCGGACTTAAAGGCTTGACCTTGTGCGGGAAGAGCAAGCCAGTTGCCGGTTCTTCTTCGGCTTGGGCCTTTTTGAGGCTCGGTTGCTCTCTGTAATTTTCCTTCTGCGAAAGAATCTGTAATTCCCTTTGGTTTTAAAGGCAATCTATCACTACTGGGCATATTTTTGTTTTGTATTTTTGTTTTGTCCAAGGGGGCTTAAGCAAACAGAATTACGGTGTAAAAGGGAAATCAACATGCAGACCTTTTCTTGGAGGTTCCCCGTTTGCTACCCATTTTAGGGCCAATCGTATCGGCCCCCTCATTCGATCAGAAACACTTTCAAGGAGGTTCGACTAACCCTTCCTGCAAAGGGGGTCTTGGGTTGTTCCCCTCCCCATGCCTGCTCAACTGGCAAACTTACGGTTTTCACCCACCCATAAGTCAGATTCTTGGATAATATGGGAGCTACCCAACCAGCTGCCAAGTCACAACCATGGTTGTCACAGGCTTAAGTGGGTTAAGCATCCGAGCTAAACTTCAGTTGCTTGAGGTGATGTTTCATTCTGTTGGGGGGGGTCCGCAAGAGGCTGTTTGAGCACATACATGGTGGGTTTTAACGCGTTTTAGGATTAGCAATCCAAGAACTCGTTGTGTTGTTCCAGTTGCAAGTATTAGGTTCCCCTCAATTGGTGGTTTGGATTGGTGGCTTGAGGATTGTAAACCCCGAAGCCTGCAAACAGCTTGAGGTCAGTTGCAAGTTAATGTTGACCATATTTATCAACCCCAGTTGATTAATAGGGCGTGCTTCTCCCTGGGTGAAATGTGGGGAATCAGACCACTATTGGAAAAGAACAGGTTGGTTGATTAGAATGTTTATAAGAAGCTTTTTTTTAAACATACACACACACACACACACGCACATATATATATATATATATGTATATATGGTCCCGTGTTCCGTGTTGCTACCCCCCCCCCCACCCATATGGTATGGGTCCCCCAGGACCCCCCGCCCCCCCGGCCCGAGACCCCGAGCCCCCGGATCCTGTCACCTACGGTCCCGCCCCCACCCCGACCCCTGAACTCGCACCCCGACACCCCGGCACCCCCACCCCCAGGACAAGCCAACCCGCAACCAACCATAAACCAACCCTAAACTAACCCTAAACTAACCCTAAACTACCCTAAACTAACCCTAAACGAACCCTAGATACCCCCTAAACCAAACCCTAAACCGTAGACCTCTAAACCTAAACCAACCCTAAATCAACATAAACCAACCGTAAACTAACCCTAAACCAACCCTAAACTAACCCCAAATGCACCCTAAACCAATCCCTAAACAATAAACCCTAAACCCAAGCCAACCCTAAACCAACCCTAAACTAACCCTAAACCAACCCGAAACCAAACCCTAAACCAAACCCTAAACCGTAAACCTAAACCAACCCTAAACCAACCCTAAACCAACCCTAAATCAACATAAACCAACCCTAAACCAACCCTAAACTAACCCTAAATACACCTCTAAACCAACCCTAAACCACCACAACCCAACCACAGGACCACAACCACAGGGGGGGGGGTACTTGTCTGACCCATGACCATTGGTGGGGGGGGGGGGGGGGCTGGCGTACGATATATATATATATATAAGTTATAAGTCACACACAGGAAAACTACTTCCATTTTGGACTGTGTGAAAAAGACGCTAAGGCCGTGTTTTGCTTCGCATTTGCCCCTGCCAGGAGCTGGGCATTGCATTCATCGGCCCCACGTCGCCGGTGATGTCCGTGTTGGGCGACAAGATTGCTGCAGCTTGGATTGGAGTCACTCCCCTCAACAAAAACACACAATCATGGCTTAAAAGATGGGCATCCTCAGTGTAAAGCCCCAAAAAAGGTTTGCCCTTTTTCTCCCCGTGCCGATTCAGTTGTTCAGTGTCACCTTTTTGTCGTTGGTTCTGATCATGTACCAGTGGAATCCATCTATTTTTTGTTCTCTAAAAAGGAATGCTTAGTCGGTGGTCAGCGCATTCCACCAGTTTGCCATTTGTTTTGTTTGGTAGGCTCCTCGCCAAACATGATCAACCACAAAACAGGTTCCCTTTTCCTACCAGGGACATTGGTTGCAATGAGGATGCCCGTCTTTGAAGCAAGAGTTGTGTGTTTTTGTGTGAGAGGTCCCCTTTTCAGGTTGTTTTAAGGGAGGGACAAAGAAGGGTACCCTCTAAAAAGAACCATTTGTAGGGGGGCTGGGATCCTTTGGATTAGCTTTCTTTCTTTTAAATAATAACCAGGGGTTCAAAGCTCAAACCACCAATCCAAACCACCAACTAGGGACGACCTTAAAAGAAACAACATTTTATAAGAAACAACATTGCAAAGACATAAAGTCGAGGGAAATTTGTTTTTTTTACTAAACACATGGTTTGTGAGGGTTGGGCAGCTATGAAAGCTCACCCTCAAAAACCAACCCCTAACTCACAAATCACTGCGGACTCCAAACCACCAATCATGGCTGGCCAACACTTCATTTTTTTTGGGATTGAACATCAAACGTCCGACATTTGATGCTGGTTTGATGTGATGAGTGTTGCGTTCGACCCTGGCGTATTTCCAGATAAGCCCAAATTTTGTTTTTTGCAGACTTTTTTTTTGGGGTAAATTTTTCCCTAGGCGACTGGGGGAAGGAAGCGACTTGCGATGAGTCAGGCCAACATCTTGGCGCAGACCGCCGGGGTGCCATCGATCCCCTGGAGTGGGGACGGGCTCAAGGCGGAGCTGGGCGAGGATGGGACCATCCCCCAGGACTGGCAGCCGTCGAAGCCGGGGTTGAAGCCGCCAGAAAACGGGAAGGAAGCGTGGAGAGAGTCAGCGCGAGGGAAAACTTCAAGGACTCAACACTCCAAATGTGTGTCGTCTTCTTTTTTTTTGGGGTACACTACAACTAGGATGTGCGTGTTTGTTTCGTTTGTTTCTTTTGGTTGGTTTCTTGGATGTCCAATCTGTTGGCTCCACTTGGAGCAGTTATAAGGACGGTTGCCGTACTTGCGTGGGTTGGACATCCTCGCTCGGGGTTCGGGAAGGCGGAAGTCGGTCGCGAGCCTCAGGAGATCTTCTTGCAAGGGACCGTCAGCACAGTGGAGCAGGCCAAGGCGCGACAGCTGGGGAAGAGGGGCTTTTTTTTTAAATATAATAGGGTACACCACAAAAATATCCTTTGGTTTCTTAAAAGGGGGGTTCCCTGAAAAGGGGGGTTCCCTAAAAATCGTGGAGGAAGGGGATTAATGTTGTCGGATCTGGGTGTTTTCACTCGTGCTGCTTCACTTCTTGCATCTCGCTGTTTGGCCCCTCTCTGAGGCTGCCCGGGGTTACGCAGTAGGCGGCATCAGGCCAACAAGCATATGCTTTTCATTTGGGATCTAAGTGGAAGCTTCCCTTTTTCTCTTCGGAGTTCCCTTCTGAAAGTGAAGAATTCAACCACTAAAAGGGGACCCCGCCTTAATCAAGTGGTTCTACTTAGATCCGGGGTTAACATCATTTGGGTTGCCGCAAGAGCAGGGCAAAGAGATGTCACAACCTGGAACTCACTTTGGTGTGTGAACCCCCCGATGATTGTTTTCCTTTTGGTTTCCCTCTAAAACAAACCCCACAGTTTCTGTGATAATTACTAAGGATTTCCGCTACACAAAGCAAGCTTTTGTCATGGCCATGGATTCGACCCGACTTTGGCATCACAGAAAGGGACAACAGTTCAGACAGTCGTTGGTGTGAGTTCTCGGATTTCCCAGATGTCACCAACGTGTTCATTTCGAGCCTTGCTACAGTGGCCAGAGGCTTTAGCTCGGGGGCCGAAGCTGTGCTGTACTTGGACGCCCTTCATGTGGGAAGGCCATTGGACACTTTGGGCCTCTTTCAGCTAGAAGGGAAGCCGGAAGGAAGGCATGTGCCCGTTGAATCTTTAGACTTCAACCACTTTTTTTTGTTGAAATCGAGTTGGTTTTCCGTACTGAGCCCACAAAAAGTGGGAAAACACGCAGAGGGGCTCGCCAACAACCAAGTTGCCATTCAGATTTGGTCAGCTGGTGGTCAGATTTCGTTTCCAGTTTCCTAAAAAGCCTGGGGCTTCCACAACTCCCGCAACGCTTTGATGCGGCTTGGCCTGCTGTCTGTCTAAAGCTAGGTGGGCACAAAACTGTGGGTTGCCTGCACGCGCCATCCCAAAATGAGGGGACTCAGTTTGTGGGCGATATGCGGCATGGGAAATTGAATGCGTTGTGGGAAACTCACCTGGATCGCCAGCTACTCTTTGTTTTTTTTTTTTTTGGGGGGGGGTTCATGCACTTTACCCCAAAAACCAGCAACAGTGACTGAACAAGCAGCAACCTTTAAAAATAAACAAAAACAACTAGGCAGTGAGTCCCCCATCTCTCTGCAAAATTTACCGTAGGCTGCTGGAACTCGATACTAAACCTCACACGGACGGCTTAGAGAGGTGCTCGATGAGGCCTGGACAATGCCCGCAATCCGTGCCAGAAGGAACTCACCCCAGTTGTTGCCATGCGATTTGTTCGCGCTTGCTAAGTGAGTTGACCATGCGGGATTCACGAAGACAACCCTTTGCCTTGTACCCATGGCTGTTACCGGATATAGCAGTTTCTCAAAATAGCTCTCCTATCCCATTTTGTGGATGGTTTTGAAGGAGCAGCAGGACGAATCATATATTTCTCGGGCGTTTCGTCCTTTTCCGCCAACTCTCCGCGCCCTCCCAAACGTCGTCACCTCGATGCCCCCCGCTCGTTCCTTTCGCGCGAGGAGAAGAGCAAAACGATCGGCTTCCCGGTGATGATTAAGGCCTCCGAAGGCGCTCCCCTTACGCCGGCGACCCCGCGAGAGCGCGACGGGGGTTCCGATGGGGTCGAGGTTCCGATGGGGTGGGGTGCACCACGGCAGATAAACGGAAGGAACCACCAGATGAACCTGGCGTAATTTAGGGTTTAGTGGAAGGCATCACATAGAAACTAAGAGGATAATGAGTACGTATCAAGATACGACCCTAAGATAGAAGTTGGCCACCCATCCAAATAAGGACAGATGCAGAAGCCAAAGGCACAGATGAAAACCATTACATCTAGTAGATGTAAATATTATAAAATAGGAAGGTGAGAAATCCAAATTGGACCTTTCTTTTGGGTTCCACATTGTTGTGTAGGGGGAATATCGGAATCAGCGCATTTCCCCGGAAAGAAAAGAAGAAACAACACACATGCCCCAAAGAACATAGTCTCAAAATGGAGTCGGGGAGTTCCATTTTCGGATCCCGAAGGAGGGGGGGGGTTCCAGGGGCTTGTGTCATTGCTTGAGTTGTTCGATTTGCTCTTCCCTAAGATGATTTCCCCTACCCCCAGCAGTTTAATGGGATATACAGCCATATGAAGGCTATATACCCCAGTTTACCCTGAGGTGGTTTGAGGGTAGTAGAAACCATCTTAGATTGAGTGTAGGTGTTGCGTGATTGGGGTGGTTTGTTTTGCAGTTGGGGTTTGTGGGTCGGAGCTGTCTTGCTGCTTGCTTGCATCCTTGCCGGCCTGCAGTTTTTGGGCAGCTGAGTAGCACTCGTTCCAGCATGCCCAAGCAGGGGATGTCAAAATAGGGCGACCCAATAAATGTTTTGGGTTTTCCTTTTAGTTTCCCTTTGAAACCCCCCCCTCCCCGCCAAAAAAACAAAAACCGGCCTGTCACCTGGCCAGCCGGAAAAAAGCGACATTCCGCCGCGGGGCCGCGGGGCCGCGGGGCCGCGGGGCCGCCAGGCGGCGGCGGAAAGGGCATCCGCATGGTGCAGGAGGAGAAGGACCGAGGTCCGGGCGAACGACCTGTGCCGGCGGGGCTGAGTCGAACCGCTGGCTGCCTAGCAATTTGGAGCAAACCCACCCATTGAGCATGCTGTTTGGGTGGGTTCCCCCTTAAAGAACCGCCCCTTTCCAAGGTGTTCCCTGGAACATGGTTGTGGTTGGGAAACATGTTTTGCACTTTTGTTGATTGTGGCTTAGTGGGAAATCCCCACTGAACAGCTAAAATTTGATTTTTTACATTTGAATTGTCGTTGTTGTTTTTACATTTTACATTTTAAGACAACAACACTAAGGGTGGTTTTTGAAAAGAACGATGGCTGAAAAGAATGGGGAATCAAGCCCTAGAATGTTACATTTTACCAGTGACTCCAAGTGAAGCAAACAATGACATATACATTCCATGGTTGTTGTTGGGAGACATTTTTTACATTTAAAGTGTCGTTGTTGCCTTTACATTTACATCTTACAGCAACAACACTAAGTGGGTTTCGCAATATTTTTGTACATGGTTGTTGTTGTGTTTATTGTGGCTTATATAGTGGTTGAAATCACCCTCCAGTGCCGCCCCCACGTATGAAAGCAGGTCGGGCCTCAACTTCTAGCACTTTTCAAAGGAACGCCCAAAAATGAGTTGATGGTGATAGTGGGATGAAACCGCAACATTTCAGGGACTTTTTGAAGGAACGCCTCAATTGAGCCTGTTGAAAGACTTGGTTTCGCATGCCTTGCTCAAATGCCTGGTTTTGCTTCCTGGTGTTTGCAACCCCGGAGGGTGTCCTTTTGAACATTTGTCATGTGTACAATGTTAACCCCGGATCGGATCTCAGTAGAATCGTTGATTTTGAGAGATGGGGGTGTCCAATTTCTTTTAATGGGTGAATCCGGATCACGTTTGCAGTCAAGACGCCCCACAAATGGACAGGTTCTACTTAGATCCGGGGTCAAGATTGCACCGTGGCCTTTCTCGAACATGCTTAACTCACTTTTGGAGTCGGGCTTGATGATCAAGTCGGGCCCCGACCATTTTAGCCGCGACTTGCCCAAGTTTTCTCACCAAGGCCCCAAACGCGAATCGCCGAACGGAGCCTTTTGGTGTCCCACCAATTTCGCATGGAACTTGCCGACAATTCCCTTCAACGGGAAAATGGTCCAACAAAACCCGACCCCCCGAACGCCAGGTTCCATGTTGATTGGTGCGAGGGTGGGGGCTTGATTCTACTTACCCCTGATCTTGGGTAAACTCTTTGAGTATCAGGGTTTGATTCTGACTCATGTGAGGCTTGTTGGAAGCCCGCAGCCTTGGGGATTCCAGGTTCGCGGTTTGGGGCATGGGGTGCTCACTGAACTCTTCACAAACACATACTGTAGGTTCCCATCTTTCGTGGCCAAGGGTGAAGCTGCGGTTCCGAGGGGGGCCGTGTCGTGGAAAGGCCTTCTGGTCACTTCCCTTACTTCGTGATTTGGACCGGTGGATATTTTTTTTGATTTTCTGGGCTTTGTAGAGGGGAGCCGGTAGAACACCCAGTACCGCGGATGGTTGCGAAAGATCCATGTTGCACCACTTTGAAGAAAATGGAACCCCATGGTTGTCTTTGCAGGGGAGTCGACTGTTTCCGTTGGGTGTCTTGTATAGGTCTAGGTCCCCCAGTGCCCTTTCTCTCCAACTTTTTTTTTTGTTGGGAGGGTTCCCTACTAAAATAGGCTGCAGAGAAAAAGTTGGTGCCCTTTTTCTAACCACTCTACTGGAGGACCTAGCGGTGCGATGTCTGGCCCTTGGAAGCACGCGGGGAAAATTCGGTTCAGCGCGGCGAGGACCTCGAGAGCAATTTTATCCAGGTGCAGAACGAGGTGCCGGGCTCGCCCATCTTCATGATGCAGCTCTGCCGCTCGGAGTCGGAAGTCGGAATTCGGAGGTTTTTGAAGTTGTTGCCGGTTGGGGGGATGGGGGGTTTGGGGGCCTTTGGTTTTGGGGCGTCTGGGGGAGTTCGGGGCGTTTGAGTAGGGGTTTTGGGGGTTTGCGGGCTGCATTGGTCTGTTCTGAAATAGTTAGTTACGCGTTTCAAGCCTTACTAGTTCCAAACGAAGGCATGTGTTGACCGGCTCTGCATTGGAGGGAACTGCCTTCCCTCCAGCGCTTTGAGGGAGAGAAGTTGTTTCCCACTTCCCTGATGTCAGGAGTCTTTGGGAACGCGGATTCCCATTCGCGTCGCAGAAATGGACAATCCCCCATTTGCACACAAGGGTGCCTGTGTAACCTGGCTTGAGATTGGTAAACTCTCCACTCGCAGTCCATTTTTAAGCAGACCCCCCTGTCAGATTCCATATATGGAATCTGACAGGGACCCAGTCCCTTCACGAGGAAATTGATTTTCCAGGTACCTCCCCACAGGTTCCTTCAGCAGGCCCGCCTTGCAGGTTCCATTTCTGATCTTTGGAGGGCAACCCAAAAAATGCTTGTTAGGACTGAATCACTTTTTGCCAACTAATGGGTTTTCCGTACAACCCCCCTCAAAAGTCATTCACTTTCAGCATGAAAAGCGGAAAGCAAGCGAGTAAGTCTTGGCCCTGGCTACGGCCTTGTTATGGGAGCTGGGGAAAAGGGGAGGGGGAGGGAGCCCAAATAAGCCCTAAATAAGGCCTTAATAGGGCTAAGGGTTTTTTGGGGCTCCCTCCCCCCCTCCCTCCCCAGCCCCCATGACCTTGGGTTCCCAGGCCAGGGCGCGCGTCACATCGAAGTGCAGATCGTGGGGGACATGCACGGCAACGCCGTGGCCCTGCATCTCGGCCTTTTGGGCCTTGGGGAGCAGATTGTGGTCACAACCGTTTTGGGACCCCATTTTTGGTTGGTAGGTGAATTCGGAATTCGCCGCCCATTTTAGGTTTCCCCGGGCTTTTTTACCCATGGCCACATGAGGTTCCGGCAAACCGCGGGATGTGAAGGGCGGCACGTGGAGCGAAACCAGGAACAACGACGATGGGGGACTGAAACGCAGGCTCCAGGTCGTTCACCAAGGGGTGCCCTTAGAAGTTCTAATCCAAGGAGTATTCAGGAACCCCGCGTATGAATGCCTGACAGGCTTTCTTGAAGCACTGTCAGGCATGAAGCCTCGAGGGTGTCGCAGGGTTGGTTCCGGTGCCAGTGATTGTTTTCCTCTCTCCTAACCTTAACATACCCCACGTGAAAGCCATGTAAGCATGAATTTGCTTACTTTGTGCGAGCTCCGGGGTATTAAATTTGCTTACTTTGTGGTCCCTTATGATGTGCCTTTGGAATTCTAAAAGCAACTGCAGATACACAAACATATGACTTTTGGGGAAGCTGGATTAACGCGTCACAGTTTTCAGCCGCGGTTTGGAATTTGGGTTTGAACTGCTGGTTCTTACCCCGGAACACCTTGAGACCAGCCAAAGTCCAAAGTCACCCTAAGACCAGCTGATTTAGCGAAACTTCTTTGAGCTGGCTTTTGGGATGTGTCCTGTACAGAGCTTGCAGGCCAGGCCCCCGCAGGGTGGGGTCGCCAGTTGGCTTTTCCGCAGAGGAAGTCACCTCGGGGTTCCAGTGGGTTCTCGTGGTTTGCCCGCCTTTGGCCAAACAGTCGCTGGGGAAACTGGGAGGCCCCTAAAGCATGGCTACCTGCCAGCATTGAAAACGCGGAGAAAAAATGCCCAGTTTCAGCCCCAACTCAATTGTGAGAAGTTTCCCCGAAAGCTTCAGCCTCAAACCAAAATTCGGAAACACATTGGGTTTTTGGTAGAAGCCATCACATGCGTCGGGTTTTTCTACCAACCCATTTCTTTTCCACACCCAGGCTGAATTGGGCCCCTCCTAAAGTCGCGCCGCATTTCCCGTTCCCCGCGTTTTTCCGGCCGCGGAGGAACGGCCGGGACTGCTCCACCCAGCGCCGCTTTCAGAAGATCTTCGAGGAGGGTCCGCCCGTGGTGGTGCCCAAGGAGCCGATGCCCCCGCGGCATTCGGGAGTTCGCTTCGGACAGTTTCTCTCTCCGAGTCGAGGTGGACCCCAGACCGCGGGTGGTTGCGAACTCCTCCGCCCCGTAAAAACAAAAAAAAACAATGGGCCTGCCCACCCCGGAAAAAAAGAAGAGCACAATGGAATGGTCTGATTCGCCTGTAAATAACAGCCAATTATGGCTTCCCATGGTTTCTTGGGGTGGTGCTCCCATTTTGGCTAGGTGAATTCACCCATTTTAGAACCAATTTTAGTGGGGATTGAATCGGATGTTCACTGGGGGTACGGGAGTTTGACCCACGGCCATATGAATCAAACAGCCGGGTGGGGGCCCCTCCAATAGTGGCCTAATTTTGTTACCCCATACTGTGGATGGTTGCGAAATCCTCTTAGGCACCACCGTTCAGAAACCCAAGGGAATGGTCTGAGTCTCCTGTAAATACCATAACAATGGTTTTTCATGGTTCCTTAAATGGTGCAGGATATCGTCCATCCACAGTATGAAGCAACCAACCGATTTATCACTAGGGGGGGGCGGCCCCTCCAAAAGTGGCCTGATTCCAACCACATTTCACCCAGGGAGAAGCATTCGCCCTATGAAGTGAAACTGGTTGGTTGATTACCCTCCCACCCTTTGCAAACAGCTTGAAAATGGTTTGGATTTGCGCGTTTGTGGATTTCGTCTTTTTCTTCCCCCAGTTGGTCCATTGTTAGTACTCTTTAATGCTTGGTTAACATCCTACATGCACAGGGGTGGATCCACATAAGCCAGATCCAAACTCGTTTCTAGAGTTGATCAATATTCCTGCAAATTGACATGGGTTCCCCAAAAGCTTGCTGGTTCGATAGGCAGGGGATGCGAAATGGGATGACCCGAGAAAAACCAGATGAGCACTATTCCATTTAGGCCCCCCCCCCAGTTTTGGATATAAGGGGCAACTTCTTCGAACTTCGTGGTTGAAATGTCAAATCTTGTTTGAAATTTCTGACACCCAAGGCCCCAAACCCTCCCACTGAGAAAAAACGCCGGTTTCACGGCGGTCGCGATTTCACGGTGAGGACACCTTCCTGGAGATGGAGCGGGCGGCTCAACGCCTCACTCAGAACATTGGCTACATCGGCGCCGGCGGCTTGTCACAAAAGCCATCGCGGCTGGGGGGAGTTCTCAAGGGGACGCAAGACTCCTCCAGTGAGACAGAGTTTTTTTTTTGGGGGGGGGGTTTGAGGGACAACCTTTTTTTTTAACATCAAGGTTGGAGGTTTTAACCAACAAACATTTTTTCTCGTTATTTTTCGGCACCACCTCCTTAACATCTTGGGCGCCCTAAGAAAGGTCGCCCAACTTCTTGAAAGCTTTTTCCGGACGGTCCCTGTACCGCAAAAAGGACACGCTTCTTGTCCATGGAAAAGACCAAAGGGAATCACCAGCGAGTCTCTCACCTTTTGTGCTGCAAGTGCGTAAGCAAGGCACTTTTTTCCAAGGATTTGCTTTCTGAGAATCAGAGAAGAAAGGGTACCGTTTTTGTGCAGGGAAAATCAAGCCCGAGGCGAACACGTGCCACTTGAAGGTTTCTGGAATCTCGCCACACTTTGTCCCAAACCGCTTTCTAGAGCCGGATTTGGACAAGGAAACTGTTGGCTGCAGAAACCACCCCCCCAAACTCCAATCAAAATCGTTTTTGGGGGGAAGCTCATGTTCCGGATGAACCAGCCTGCTGGATGAAAAGGGGGGTTCTTGGAAAAAGAAGCGGAAGGGTTGCCTGGAATGTGACACACCCCAAAAAGAACCTCCGCCGCCAGGGGTTAGGCCTGCGTTCCATGTATGGATTTGGGCCCCCTTTTTCCGTAACACGAGTTCTTCAATCATCACATCAAAGCGGTGTCCAACAGGAGGTTGGAGGCAGGATATTTTGTGTGGCAACAGTAGCTCAAACACCAACAAACCACTCAAATCCAAAAGAATGTGTCTCAAAGTAGGGCACACCCCTTTCCTTTCGGTTTCCCTTTTTGCACCGCACAACCAACTCCAAAGAACGACACACATCCAAACCAATTTGCTACCGGGTGCAGGCACCGTGGAGTACCTCTACGACGCCAAGGAGAACAAGTTCTTCTTCTTGGAGCTGAACCCGCGGTTGCAGGAGCGGCCTTCCATGTTGGAAAGTTGAAACACCCCTCCCATCAAGCATGGAACTCTGACTGGGGGTTCCAAGGCAATAGTTCTTTGAAAGGGGTCCTGTGGTAGGTTCCATGTGAGTGGACTCGAGGGTAGGTTGACACTTTCCAATGAATCTGGGATTTGGGTTGCCACTTGTGACTCCCCGCAAGTGAACTCATGGGGGTACCAAGGAAACCCTATGAGGGAAGCAGTGGATGAGAAAACTCATCCTTCTCAGGAGCTTCAAAATTTTCGTTTCTTTTTGACCCCCAGTTTTGGAGGGCTGTTTCTTTTGGGAACTTTTCCCGTTTTTCTTTAGGATTTTTTCCTGGGTTTTGCCTTATCTGGCTTCTTAGCTTCTTGGCTTCTTCTTGGAGTCTGGGCTTTTTAGCTTTTGGCTCGTGGCTTTTTGGTTTCTTGGCTTTTGGGCTTTTGGGCTTTTTGGCTTTTTTGCTTTTTGGCTTTTTGCTTTTTGGCTTTACTTTGTGGGCTTTCCGCATCCTCAGCATCACCAGTAACATCCCAGCATCACCGCCTTTTGGCTTTTTGGATTTTTGGCTGGTGGCTTCTTCCCTCCCATGTTTCTGTAGATGGGGGGGCGCAGCCCCCCTCCCCCCACCCCTCGCTTCTTCGTAGGCAACGCACCCCAATGAATCCAAGGCCCACGGTCCTAAACTCACGTTTTGGGCCAACAAAAACCCTAAACCAACCCTACACCACCACAAAACCCACCCCAAACCACCACGAAACCCACCCCAAACCACCACTAAAACTAGAACCAACCTTAAAAAGCCAACCCTAAAGAAACCCTAAAGAAAACCTTAAACCAGCAAAACTCTCTAAAGAAAACCCTAAACAACCCCACTCTAAACCAGCAAAAGACTATCCCTCAACTCTGAACCTACCCTAAACCAACCCTAAACCCCAAACACAAATCCCGAAACCCACCCGAACCCCACCCAAACCAACCCTAAGTCTGCACTAAGTTTGTATTATTCTGTATTGATGCTGGTTTAGACTGGGTTTGTATTATACGATGCGCACTAAACCAGCACAAAGCCATTGCCAACAAGCCCACCTCAAACCTCAAACCACCCCCACTAAGCAAGCCCTATAGCTCCCTACAGCAACCCCAAAACCAATCCCTAACCCCTCGTACACCAGCACTAAACCCAAACTAAACCCTTAACAAGCCCAAAGCAAACGCGACACCAACCGCCCCCTGCCCCCCCCCCCCCCCAAACAAACCAAACCAACACTAAACCATCCCACCTAAACACAACCACAGCCTAAACCAACTCTAAACTCACCCTAAACCAGCCCTAAACCCCTGAACCAACCCCCAGAAAGCCCACCATAAACCAGCACTAAACCATTTAGTAATTAAGCGCAGCCACCCCCAAACTTGCCTTAAACAAGCCTGGAACCCACCATGAACCAACCCTAGCCAACCTAAACCCACCCTAAACCCAGCCTAACAAATCCAACTCGTGATGCTGAGGATGTTGAAAAGGATGCTGTCGAGATAAAAGGATGCCGGGGATGTTGACAGCGCTGGTGCAAAACGAGTCAAACCACAGAAGAACCAAGGGAGATCGCACCTGCCAGTTCCAAAACAGAAAATCCAGGGAAAATTCCCAAAACAAAACGGGAAAAAATCCTAAAGCAAATCGGGACCCCCAGTTTCTGTTTGAGCTGGTTTTTCTGTGTTTATTTTTCTCTTTTTTTGGACCCCCGATTTGTTGCAGACGAGCTTTTCTTCTTCGTTCTGTGCCGGGGCCCCCCAGTTTTTGACCCGACGGAGCCGCGTCCGACAGGTGGAGCACCCGGTCACGGAGGAGCTGACCCGAGTGAACCTCCCCGCCACACAGGCGGGCGAGGGGCTCGGAGTTTGAGTTTCACGTGCGGACTCGGTGCGACATGGGGTAGGGACGGAGACATGGGATGAACCATAAAGAAAGGAAACGATATAAAGGATGATGAACCATGAATAAAGGAAAGGAAGCCATATAAAGGAAGCCATAAATAAAGGAAAGGTGCGAAATCGATAGGCTAGGGCGCCCAGTAGTGCCCTTAGTGAACCCCTTTTTTTGGTTGGGAGGGTTCCCCTAATAAAATAGAACAGGAAGAAAAAAAGGGTAGTCTTGTTCTAACCTCTCTACTGGAGAACCTGTGGGGACTCCCTTCCCAAATAAAGGAAACCATATAATCTTGGGTCGTTCCATTTCTTTCTCCCCTGAGCACCAGCCACTTAGGGAACAGGAACGACCTGTGGATGGGAACCGAAATCCATTTCGCAGCACCTAAGAAACCAGGGTTGAAACCTTAAGGTTTGTTGGTATTTACTTCTTAGGTGGTGCCGGATTTCGTCCATCCACAGCATGGCAACTTTTGTTTCCCTTGGAACCGATGTTTCGGGGTAAGTACAAAAGTGCTCACTTTTTGTGTCCAGGGCCGAAGGGGGCAAGGGAGCAAAGGGAAATCATCTGCAATTTAGAAAGCAACCACCACATGATTGCTAGCTGGAGTACAGGATCCAAATGATTGTAAAGCACGTGGTTTCCGGATGGATCCTGTATCGCTGTGACGATGAGGCTGTTATTTAATCGCGGATTGGATGTTGTTTTTTTTTGAATCGAGAAGCAACAAACAAGCTGAGAGGCTTCCTATTGGTTTACTAGCGCGATCCCTTTAACGAAGTCTGCCACATGTGCTGCCCGCCCTGTTGGCAGATCCTGGGACCCGTCAAGTTCTGCTGGGGGTTTGCCAGCGTTCCGGAGGGCCGCGTTCCATGTCTTGACTGCCCCAGGCTTCAACCCAGGGGCGTCCCTTTCGGGGACATGAACCACCCCTGGGTGGAAGTCTGGAGTGGGGCAGTCAACCATCGAAGCCAGCGTTTTTGGGCTTCTTCAGTCACCCAGCATGGAACTTGGTCCCACCAGGACACTGGCCGGCCGGCCAGCGTCCAAATTGCAGGCAAATATCAGTGCGGGAGGGCAAGGGTGGCTTTCTTTCATTGCGTTCTCGACTTTTCCCAAAAGTGGAGGTTCTCAAACTTGGGACCACTTGGATTTCATTGGGAGTTGACACCAGCCACGTGCCTTTGACGGAGCCTCGTGTCTTGCTGCCGAGCACACCAGGAGCTTGAAGAACGGGGCGCCACCAATTTATGGGGTCCTCCTGGTTAATTCCGCTGGTTTCGGCCGTACTCCTTGAAGCTGCAGCCGATCTGGAGATTGGAGGTACCTGTTTTTTTTTGTTGGTTCTCTTTCTTTTTTTTGGGAGGGTCGCCTGTTTTAAATCGAGCGGCATTGTGAAGGGAAGCTGGAGGGAGACCTCTTGTAGGCTTCCCGTTTCATTTTGGAGACACATCAGATCCTTTTCAAGGGCCACTTTCTATTTTTCGAGAAAAAAACCAACGCGTAAAATTTCTATCAAAGTAGTCAGTACGTACCAAGGATGGGACTCCCGTACTTGCATCGCAAGCGTCTATTTTCGCCCCTGCCAGCGGCCCGGCAAGGGAACCCAAGAAAATACCGTGGATGGACGAAATCCTGCACCACCTAAGAAACCATGGGAAACCACTCATTGTCGGTATTTACAGGGAGTCAGGCCGTTCCAGGGCTGCTTAGGTGGTGCAGGAACTCGTCCACCGTATTATTTCTTGGGCCCGAAAGCGGAAAGCCACAGCAAAACGGGCTTGATGGTTGGCTTCTTGAGGTGCTGGTATGCTGTGGGGTGCCCTTGGAGAACATCCCGCAGATCCGTAAGTTCTACGGTAAGAGTCCAGAGGACCTTACCTCGCCCATCGACTTCCTCCAGGAGAGGTTAGTGTTTAAAGCAGGTCCGTTCCGCTTGCACCAGGCAATCACCGTGCTCTTTTTGCGCATCTGATTTCGGAGAGCCCGTTTGTTCGAACTCATTCAAATGGGCCCCACTCATTTTAAGGCGAAATTGTTTAACCCAACCTTCAACCCCCAGCACCCCTAGTGAAACCAAACAGGGGGGGCTGTTCAATGAATGGTTCTAACTTTGAACTCGAAGGGAGAGGAAGGTCTTTGCCCCTGTTTCGGTGGGGCTTTGGAGGAGGGACAAGAGGCGATCGGAGCTTCCATCCGGGAAGCGGCACCACATGGAATCGACCGGATGGTGGAGTAGGCTACAGATGTTTTTTGCGCTGAAAGAGACAACCAACAAAATCACTTGCAATTGCTATACTAAAGCTGTAAATGATTTTTACTTGTGGCATGTAGCTCAACAAACTGAGCATTTGAAGTTTGTTTTCCACACTGGTCAAGCAGAGGCGTTTGTTTTCAAGCAACTAAAGGCTCTCCCGCGATTTCTGCGGGTTTACGTTGCGTGTGTGTATTTTTTTGCGGATACCTTCTTTCAGGTTGGCTTGAGGGCAAACCAAAAGGGTAACCCCCTCCCACGACATTTTTGGTGTCAAGGGAGAATTAAAGAAAACCCCTGGTTTGGGGAATCCACTGAAACAAGAGACACACACATTCCCTCAGGAAAAAAAAGCCTCCTTGCTTGGTTTCAAGGGGAGAATAACAAGGAACCCCACCGCACCCAAGAAAAGACAAATTCACGCAGACGCAGAAAGAATTCCGTCTTTTCCAGGACAACTACGTGTACCCGGACCGGCACGTGCTGGCCTCCCGGATCACGGCCGAGAACCCGGACGACGGGTTCAAGCCCACCAGCGGGAAGATCGAGCGGATCAAGTTCCAAAGCCCCTCGCCCGGTGAAGAAACATCGGTGGTTTGGAGGTTAGAGCGGTGCTTCGCAGTGAATTAGCGCCTACAAAAACTGGGGTTCAAGCCCCCAAACCACCAATTCAACCCACAAATTAGGAAAACTTGACAAAAAGGAGCCCCGACCGGAAACCAAACGAACAAACAAAAAACAAACGGCGTTTGGAGGAATCGCCTAGCAACCGCCCTGAGAAGTGGGGGGTCCGTCATTGGCTCAGGGCCCTCATGGGAAATTGGTCCGAAAGGGATGGCATCCCCGCGTATGAGAACAGTTGGCAAACATCAGTGTCTAGGTCCTCCAGATTTGAGAGCTTGGAATAAGTTGGCACCCGATGTGTTTTTTTTGTTTTTGGTAGTCTACTTTAGTAGGGGAACGGCCTCCCCCAAAAGAGAAACGGTAAAAGGGCACTAGCTGGGGGACCTAGGTGTGTAAGCCTTGTACCAGGAGTATGCCCATTGTTCCCGTGTATGGCTGCCGCAGCCCCTGCTTAACCCTCAACCAGCAGACTTGGAAGGTGAGAATGTCCAACCCATTTCAGGGTTGGGGTGGTTTGAAAGGGAACTAAAGGGAAAACCACCATCCCCCTATTGAGACACACCCAACTGACCCTTGTTTTGAAAAACGGGCGTGTCTTCAAACGGCGATGCACGTTGAATAGGGAACCACCTCAAAAGAAGTTGGTGGACATGAATCCCCACCCAATTCTGATGTCCACCCAAGGGCCCCGTAGTAAAATTTACAAAAATAAATTTCATTATTTTGTTTACTTCCGACCGGGGAGTTATGCCATCTGCTTGGGCTGCATCGCCCAAATCCCATTGTGGTTGAATGGAAACTCCACTGAACCAAAAAGTTCAAGTCCACTTTGAACCTTGGTTCCCCTTCAAAAAAACCAAACAAAAACAGCCATTGTGAGACACGCCCATTGTTTGAAACAAGGGAATCCCCACTTTTGTGTGTCCTTTCGCTCCCCCCCCCTCCAAAAAAAACATTAAAAACAAAAAACAAAAACGTGGTGTTTGAAACAACCCATTGTTTGTGTCCTTTCGGCCCCCCTTCCCCCCCCAAAAAAAAGAGTGGCCACCCTCAAGAAGACGAGCGAGCGCCCCATCTCGAGGGCCGGACCAATCCAGACCACCAACGTTTCGTGCACACGCCAAAAACAAAACGCCTGAAAAACGGGATAGCAATACATGTTAACACTTGTGGAAAGCTGGGTATGGGTCAAAACGGATGGCATTTGGGGTTACCCAATGTTTGACCCACATGGGCGATAATTTTAGATTGGGGACCCGAATTGGTGGACATCAGGATTCGGTGGTGATTGCTGACCAACACTTTTCAGGGGGTTCCTTAATCGAAATTCATGGCCACATCTGACCGCATGCTTGGTCCTTTCCACATTTTGGACCACATTTTGGACCACCTTTTCGCTTTTGGTGGCCGATGTTCCCTTTGGCAAATGGGCACAGCCAGCTGACAGCCGCGGGATCACGCGAGGCTCGGTGGCATGCTGGGGCTACTTTTCCATCGGCGCCAAGGGGGGCATCCACGACTACGCGGACTCCCAGTGGCTTTGGCCGAATTGGGGATGGATGGCTTTGGCCGAAGGGTGAAAACGGGGGGGGGGGGGGGGGAAAACGAAGAATTGGGTTTACCTCTTGGTTTCCCTTTGAAAACGCAGAAAAGGGGGAGATTCGGGGAGTGAAAGGGCCCAACAAATCAAACCCAGTTTATTAGTAGGATGTCCATTTCTGGGTTTTAGTGGGGATATGTATTGCTCTTGGAGGGGAACACCCCCCTATATTCATATTAGAGCGGGATATGGTGGGTTTGCCTCTTCGTTTCCATGTGGAATCACAAAAAAGAAAAGGGACCTCCCTCAATCAACCGGGGCTTCTACTTAGATGTTAGGGGTTTACGTTGTAGGTTCCAGTTGTTTTCTGGGGATGTTGGTTGCTTTGGTTGCTTTGCAGGGGTTCTACTTAGATCGAAAATGGGCCCTAACAGGGCTCCAACTTGAACAGGGCTCCGACCATCATTTGGCAGCGAGCTCGCCGGCTTATTGGGGGGCAAGCGAGTCCATGGTAAAGATCCTTGATCCCTTAATTTAGGTTTTTGGACATACTTGCTTTCGGGGCCTGGCACCCGGAACCCACTTCCATAGTTCTGCAATTTTAACATACTGTGGATGGTTGCGATATCCGTTTCGCACCACTTTGAGAAACCATGGCTGAAGCCTTTGTTTGTTGGTATGCCCAGGGGAAACATCAGTCCAGGGTTTCTTAGGTGATGCGAAATGGGTTTCGCAACCATCCACAGCGTCGTACAGTTTGCAGAATCCTGGAAGTGGGTTCCGGGTGCCAAGCCCCGCAAGCAAAGCTTTCGTCAACCCTGCGATCGTCAGCTGGCATGATTGTTGGAGGGAAGGTATGTAACGTTTACCCCTGATAATACCCCCCAGTAATATGGGTATGTGTGAAAATGGAGGGAACCCGAAGAATGGTGGGTGTTCTCCTGGTGGTGGGCTTTGCTTCTGGTTTCCATTTGAAATGACCCTGCGGGGAACATTACCTTTTGACATTTGTGTTTTGTCTCACTCATGTCAGCTTTGGAACCTGATCACTCTAATCAGAGGCCCCCTGACACGAATCCATTTGACCAGGGAGCCACCTGATTTGGTCCTCCAGATTTCGTGGACATTCAGCGAATCTTGTTGGACTCTTGTGGCGCGCAGCTCTGCCCAACCAGCCAGAAGCGCCCAGTTGCACGACGGCCGTGCTGGTTGAGTCAAGGGTCACAGGTGATCACCTTCATTTCCAGGCTGAAGGGGCAAGTGAGAAACGAACCGGTATGGGTCGCAGGGGTCCTGAAGTGTGTGGTTACCTTGACGGTTTTCTTTTAAAACCGCTCCCAGAAGCTAGCATGGAACCAAGTAGGCGGGTTCGAAGAAACTCGTCTTCCCAGACCCCTCGGTCAGGTTTCACGTGAGAAGAAGGGAGGCCATGGGTTTGTCTCTAGGGTAACCCTCAAAATGCCTGGGGTGGTTTCCTATCAGTTTCCCTTGAACACCAGCTGAAAGGGTATTCCCCAAACAAAGCCACACCCGTAATTATGCTGTTCCATTTGCCCAGCAAGTAAAACTAGGATACTATTCCTACAAGGGGCACCTACATATTCATACAGATTCATACAGAATATGTACATATAGGTAGCTTTGAATATGTGTACGCCTTCTTTTCAGTGGGCTCTTTTCCGCTTTGACGTCAGGTTTGGGCACATCTTCGCCCACGGCGCGAACCGCGAGGAAGCGCGGAAGGCCCTGATGCTGTCCCTGAAGAACATCGAGGCTCGCTCCGTCGCCTCTCGAGGGTCGCCTTGCCATGGTTCATGTGGCCGGGGGGGGGGCCCCGATGGATGGTTTTTGGACCCCCGAAAAAAATGGTAAGCAAGAAGCTTGGGCTTTGTTTGGCCGACCTACTCGGAAAGTGAGAAAAAACATATTTGTCAAGGGCCCAGATTCTTCATTAGGCCTGTAGGTCTGCACTGGAGGGAGCATGGGCCTTAGGGGGGATTTCGGTGTCCCCACGCATGAATACCAACCCCTTTTGGCAGGGTACCAACACGAAAAGCCATAGGCTAAGCTTCCATTTGCTTACTTTTGCCTCTTGGTTTTAAAAGGAATTTATAATTATCACTACTGGAAGTATGTTTCTTTTTGGGTTTCCAGGGAAGCCAGGCAACTGGAGGTGTAGAGTTGGGCTAAGAAACCAGGTCTTGGCCCCACGCCCCCTTCTTCTCCTTTTCGCCGAAACCGTGCCGGCAAGGAACCTGCAACCCCCACGCTTTTGGCTTTGGGAAGTCGAGGCATTTTTAACCCGCAACATGTATTTATTTATTTTTAAGCGCCAAGACGGGCAACCAAGAATCAAAGTGGGTTTCTTTGATTCTTAGTTGCCCGTTTTGGTGTTTAAAATAGAATCAACGTGCAGCGAGGTCTGAAAAAAATCAACTTCAGATTCCGGAGGGCCAATCAGAGGTCCTCCCGAAACCGATCATTTCCGTACGGATCTGACTACGGTCCGGTTTTAACGCCAGGTGGACCTGGGGCCTCGTTGTTTTTTCTTTTTCTTTTTTTTCTTCTTTTTTTTCCCCCTTTTTTCTTTCCTCCTCGTTCGGCGAAAAGAGTCCCTCCCTCTCGCCTGCGAGGTGGTGGGCGAGATCCGGAACCCCGTGGAGTACTTGGTGGAGCTCTTGCAGCAGGACACGCTCGCGTGTAAAACGTGTGGCAAGATACCTACATTTGCTTAAATATGTTTTTTCTCTCTCTTTTTTTTATCCCTTGTTGGTTTTAAAAGGAATTCATGACTACTGGAAATATTTTTGTATTTTTTCCTGGGGCCTTAACCAAATGGAAGGTGGCAAGAAGCCCAGACCTCCAGTGAGCTGTATTTTATTTTATTTTGGAGGGGGTGGTTCCAGACTTACTCAAGGTGGCAATTTGATCGGTTTTGGGCCAGGGTTTTCCTTTTCGTGCACCATTTGGAGCGTTGTCTGGAGGTCACTTAGCTCTCCTTTTGTGCGTCATCTGCACAAATGAGCGCCGAATCTGTTTCCCCATGGCCCCATGGCCAGTGAAAGTCAGGAGGCTTAGGTACCTTAGTCTAGGTCCCCCAGTAGTGCTCTTTTACCCATTTTTGGGGGAGGGTTCCCCTACTAAAATAGACCACAGAAAAAAGGGTACCCTTATTCTAACCTCTCTGCTGGAGGACCTAGTTAGTTGTAACCCCACTGAGATCATCTGCCTGTCGTGGGACGAAGCAAGTAGCTTAGACTTTTTTTTTGTGAGCGTCAAGTGTTCCTGAAGGAGCCAGGAATGACGATGGTGGTGATTTTGGTCTAGCAGCCTCTGTGGCAATCTGATTTTGCCAGGTTGGTTTCCCAGCAATTTGTTTTTTCAACCGCTGGATGGCTCCCACCTAGCAGCGGTGAGTGCGTTTCCTTTTGATGTTCTTGTTTGAGGGGGAGGGAGGTGTCGGGCACCCTCCTTGATTGTGTCTTTTTTGGGACCCCCTTTTTGGTGGGTTTTAACAGGGAAGCCACCAGGAAATGCCTCCCCCCCCTTGCGGACCGAGGCAGGTACACCCATACCGCGGGCCCATACCGTATCTGGGGGAAGGCCGGGAGGGAGGGCCCCGAACCCGAATGACTTCTGCAGGAAGCCTTCATCAACAACACCATTGACACCTCCTGGCTGGATGGGCTTATCAAGGAGAAGTCGGCGACTTGGGCTGTTGCTCGTTGGGTGGACCTTTATCTTTTAACGAGGAAGTGTTCTTCGCTAGTTGAACAGTCATGAACCGCAGCTGTGCTTTTCCCGTGAAAGGGGATTACTCAATTCTCATAATTTGTCCAAGGACCCCGCCGTAACAACAAAAAGGCAGGAGGATGGCACACGGTCTTTCTGGTTCAGGCAAAATCAAAACCCGGATAATTGAAGGTTCGCAAGGGATAATCCTAGCCATCAATGGGTGCAGCCGCTGGGTGGACCAGTCGAACCTCAGGTTTTCTGACTTAGGGGAGAACCACAGCCCGGATTCCCCATTGGTGCCCTTTTTCCTTTTTGTTTGAAGCTTCCCTTTAGAGTCAACCGAGCAAAACTTGCTGGTGCGATAGCTAGGAAATGACCGTTTCGGGTGTTAAGAACAAACCATTTGAGAACTCCCTGAATGGAAGCCACAAGGGATTGTTTATCGGGTTCATTCCATTTCTCATTCCCTGCCGAGCACAAGCGAGAAAACAAGTGGCGCCCCCTTTTTGCCGTGGAACTCCGCTAAACCCCGGGCCGGGGCCTGGTCCGGGGTCTGGACAGCTGGGTCTGACGTCTGACGTCTGACGTCTGACGTCGCTGAGGTGACTCTGCGGTACAACATCAACGACGTGGTCTTTTACGCCGCGGTCTTCCGCGCGGTGCAGACACTGAAGGCGTTTTGGGAGTTTCGGGAGTTGGCTGGAATCGGGGGCGTGCCCCGGGCCTCCATCAACAGCCCTCCTTTTTGTTGCACACGCACATATCTATATATGTATATGTACATATATATATATATATCTATATCTATATCTATATAGATGTGCATATGTCTATATACACACATATATGCAATTTCCATGGTAGACTAAGTATGAAGAACGTGAAGCTGAATCTGATTTTTCCGGGGTTCCAAAAACACTCTAGAAGGTAACTTTGAGGATGTCTTACTACCATGGACCCAGTAAAAGTGTAAGAAGTGCCGCAAAGCTGTGCCAGATATGTTCCAAAGCAAGCGGCACAATAGGATAGCCCTCAGAAAAGAGCGCTCATTTCAAATAGTGGGTTGCCCCCAAAGGTTATAGAAGCCGGACCTCCAAATAACCCACCTCCGAAAGGGCCTCAACATTTAGAGACACACCCAACACTTTTCCAACAAAAATTGGCCCGGCCCCGAATAATGCTTAGTTTCCTTTCAAGCCAACCAGGTTTCCCTTTCCTTTTGGTTTTGGTTTCCCTTTCCAACAGCTGGCCCCTGGGTTCGCTTCGGGGCGTCCGAAGCCTCGTTTTCCGCCCGAGAAGCGCCTCCTGCGGGCGAGATGGGTTCAGGCCTTCGACGAGGAAGTGCAGAAGGCGCTGAGCAAGAGCCAGCTGGGCCCCCTGCGGGACATGGCAAAGCCGCCCGGCGACACGCGTGAAACATGGGGTTCAGGGCGGGAGAGGGGAGCCGGGTACTGGGAGGATACCATTTGGAAGGTGCCGGAGCCGCCTTAGCTGTGTCCAAGGGTTTGCAAATGTACCAGGCGACTTGGGGGGGGTTGGGCTTGGGCAGATTTTGGCCACCTTCCCCAACCATGGAAGCTGACGACCGGAGGGTTTTGGAAGACTATTTTCATTTTTTGCGTTTGGCCCCCTGTCCACTTTCATGATTGTTGGAGGGAGGGTGCCAGCTGTTTGAAGTGTACCAGGTGACTTTTGGGGGTCTGTTCGATACAATTTGGCCAAATTAGTGCTCACCCCAGATCTAAGTAGACCCCCTCGTTGATTGGTCGATTTTTCGGCAAAACGTATTCAGGCCACTTTTGGAGGGAGCACCCCCCTCCGAGGTCAACGTGAGAAGCAGGCTTTATCAGCGTACGTGATTCTTAGGATCCTTGAAGGGCTCCTTGCGGGAGGTCCCTTGGGGCGTGACCAAAACAAAGCTCAGTTGTTCATTGACACCCTTTCTCCTTTTTTTTTGGTTTGGGGTGGCTGCCCCACTAAAAATGGTCTTCCCCAAAAAGGGTTCCCTTTTTTCCAGGGTCACTGAACAACTGAGAAAACAACCTTTTAGAGATTCATGGCGCTTCAAAAGTAAGCTTGGGTGACTTAGTTCAGGTCGCTTACCTAGCAAAGCACTGCGAGATTTAACGGTTGTTCTCACTTTTCTTTCCTTGCCTTTTTGATGTTCATCATTCTCCCTAAGAAAAAGCAAATAACACTTTAGCCATCAAACGAGACATCATCATGCTCATCATTTTCATCATGTTCATCATTTGGCCATCAAAAAAGACAAATCATTAGCACTGTCTGCATGGGTGTCCGGGGCCTCGGGCGAAGATTCTGGGCGATTGGCGACGAATGTTCATAAGCCGGTTTCAATTGTTTTTCTAAAGAAAGCATATATATATATATATATACACTATATATATCATATACATCTAAGTGGTGCTTGGTTTCCCTTCAACCACTAGATGGTCATTTTTTAGGATCTTGCTTCATGGGCCAATGGACCCAGTTTCGTGCCGCTCATTGGAGGCCGGCTACTTTTTTTCTTCTTCTGAATTCGGTCGGTTCCTTTCAGATGTCGGCCTAGGGTGCGCCTCCAAAAATGAGTTCTGGGTCAACCCCCTCTTAAATAGGACGCCTTTCGCCAGCCCCCCCCCACTATACTAGCCAATGAGCTTGTTTTTGGGGGTCAACCAGCCTGGTGATGTTTTTCAAGCCTTTGTTTGGATCGTCGAACCGCAAGCCGAACCTTACGTTTTTAAAATCAACCCATTTTGGGGCTACCCAATTTTTGACGTCCATTTGTGATGCCACTTTGGTCCTTTTGTGCTTTTTGTACAAGACTAGAGCGGCAACCAGGACCAGGTCAGGGATGAACTCCCCGCAAAACATTGAGCACTTGGGGTGGACTGGGTCCGAGCCCCGGCAACGAAGATGAACCCCAGAAAAGAGCCCTTGTTTTCCCATGGGCAAAAAGGGGTAGGGATGAACACCATGCCCCTTTTTCGACAAAAAGGATGAACCACTTTTTTTTGGGGTGGGAAGATGCGGACATCCTGGGTCCGACAAAACCACTTCCCTGTGCGAAAACTATGGACCATGGGTCGTCGACCTTTTGGGGCTCGAGGATGAACCACTTCCCGGTGGAGATCACCTTCGAGGGGGTGAAGTACAACTTCCAGATCGCCCGCTTGGGGCCCTCGCTGCTGGAGTTGGCCATCGGCGGTCAGAAGCGCCGGCCCCGGAGAGTCGGCGATTCGGAGCGACTGGCGTCGCCGGCTGCCCATGTAAGTCCGTTTTTCGATGGCTTGACACGTCACCCTTTGGGCCAATTCAAGTTAGTTGGTTTCCTCTCGGTGGGCCAATGTAAGTTTGAAGCCGTTTGGCACCACTCGCGCATCTGAGCAACGGAACGCTTCTTGCTGGATTGCTGATATTATGGGGTCACCCGTTTGGTCCAGGGTCGGTTGTGCAGATCGGGTCGGTGTTCAATGGGTCCCGTTCCGGCTCCTGGTGATCATCTTGGTTTGGCGGTTGTACGAGTAGCCGACCATATTACCACCCGAAACTGATGGTCACCCAAAGCCAAGAACCAACTTGCCCACCCAAGAGTTGAGGCCAACATTCGGTGGTTGAGTTGGCATGCAGGTCTCTTGGGGGGGGGGGGCCCTGAAAAGAAGCAAATGAGACCTGGCGTGGTTGGGGTCTAGTGCTGTTGAGGGTTTGGTTTGGCTCGGCATGTGCTTTTTCCATTTCTCTCTTCCCACGGGTGTTTTTCGACTTTTTGGCATAGATCAAGACTTTGGGGCATGCATGCGATGAAAAAAAGCTCTCCTTCCCCAAGCCTACCCTGTCCGGCAAAAGGAGGGGGGTCCAATGACTCGAAGGACACTTCCCCGGTTCGTGCCCCTTTTGCCGCGTCTGATTCGTTTTAGGTTGGGATCGCAACCTGGCCGCCCCCCCATCCTCCCGCGTCCCCCACCTCGGCCCTCAAGGTACCTCGCGCAGATCATGGCGCAGCCGGACGGCACCTTCTTGGTGTCCGTGGGAAAGACGGTGATGCGGGTCATGGGCTCTTTGGCAGTTAGCCCAGGTCCAAAAACGCGGGGGGGCCCCACTTGCCCCATCTGTTTATCCATGGTTATGGCCTACTTGGGCAGAAGTGGAAATCGCAGATGCACACTTGAACTAACTTGTCAGAGACAACAGCTTGATGCCACATTTTGGCTCAAGCTGCCCTTCTTACTTGAACCTGTGTTGTGAAAAAAACTTCCCTCTAAACTCCTCTTTGCCATGTCTTCCTCTCTGTTTGCCCCCAAGTACGCTGCGGTCATCGCCTCGGCAAAGGTTCGCGCGGCTGATCCTGTCAGGCGATACCTGGCGAAGATTGTGAAGAAGGAGGATGAGGGATGGGCAGTTCTTGTCTCGGAGCCTGAGGACCGAGCATCGGCCGAGGGCCTGGCGTTCACTGACGCGGACCCTACGGACAAGCCTGTGGACGTGGATATGCCTTCGGCCCCGACAGGCTCCCCTCCCCTGGTGGGGGTGGCTTCGACTTCCTCCTCTTCGGCAGCGGCCCCTCTGGTTGGTGAGAGTGATGCCCAGGGGTCTTCAACCTCAAGGCGGCGGACGGCATCTTCAAGGTAGACCCCAAGCAGTGGGATGTGGTCCTGCACCTGCGCCACGCGCCTCAGGCGCATGGTGCTGGAGGAGGTCAAGCGCCTTCTGGAGGGGTTCAACCTCGAGCAGATGACGCGGGGTGGACTGGCATCGTCGAGGCGTTCTACCTCGCCACGGTCAAGTATGCGCACGTCAAGCGCCTCCGGACGCCAGGCCAGAAGGTTGGCCAGCGCAAGGGCCTGGGCTACGGCGTGTTGTAAGATAGGCCGGTGGGGGCTGACCCCACTTCCCTGATCTGCCCGCTCTGCGCCCTGGTGAAGCTTGGCGCCAAGAAGTGCATGGGGTGCGGCAAGATCACCCAGCCGGTGGACACCACGGAGCACTCCGCCACCCTGGAGGTCAACGGCCAGGAGTGGCAGCTCACCACCTGGGGGGTGGGGGCCCCCAAGCGGACGAGAACTCCACCATGGACCAGAAGATGGCGGCGAGTGTGGACGTCAGCAAGCTGGCGCAGGCGCCGCTTCCGGCCGAGAATGAGGAGCAGGCCAGCTTCGCGGACCAGGTGCCGGCGGAGTTCCGCCTCAGCATGCGGGACTTGATCATGGAGTTGGATCCCGAGTTCGTGGCCAGAGACCCGCGCTTCCAGCCCCCGAAAAAGGAGGACCGGGAGGAGGGCCAGGAGTGCCGAGCCTTCCACCCAGCCGCGGTCAAGGCCTTCAGGATCCAGACCAAGCTGAATACGACCCTGATAACCCGGCAGGAGGCGCAGAAGGCCAAGCACACGCAGGATGTGGAGCGCAGCATGGCGGTCGGTGCTGCATGAGATGCAGACGGGGGCCATGGAGGACCCGGCGTTGGAGGACCCTTCAAGCGCTTGGACCTGGACCTCCTTCGGACCCGCCTCCTTGAGCGGTTTGGAGAGGAGTGGGGCAGATCGGTCCTCCGCAGAGGCGGCCAGAACGCAGAACCTGGCTAGGCAGAAGCAGGGCACAACCCTCACTCGCCTTCTGGAGCCCCTCTACTCCTTTGAGGCCTGGCCCGCCAAGGTAAAGGAGGCCATCGAGACGGGGCTGTTCGAGCCCACCTTGGCTTGGAGGGACTTCGGCCGCGACGACTTCTTTTCCCTCACGGAGAACTACCTGGCGGCCAGGAACATCATCTCGGAGGGCCGGAACCCCTTTCCCGCTGCGCTCCTCCAGAACTGCCGGATCCCGCGGGGGCCAGTGCACGGGTGCCGTCGGCCACGACATGCCGCCCCCCGCGCAGGTACGGGGAAGTGGCGCAGGTGCCATCGGCCCTGACACACCTGCCCCCTACCTGGATCCGGAGACACAGGGATTGGTCTATGCAATTGGCAAGGCCCTAGGCCCAGACATGCAGGTTCCAGCACCCCGAAACCAAGGAAGCTGATGCAGACCCGGCTGATGATCGGTCTGCATCAGCTTCATGAATGGCAGGGCCACCTCTGGTGGACCTGCCCATCCTTTTGCTCCCATTTGGCACTAACCCGATCTTTCCGACAAAAGTGCGTGAGCTTGAGGAAGACGGGATGTTGGGAGCATCTGCTTGTGCTTGACTTGATTGGATTGGGCTTGTCTTGTGCTTGTCTTGTGCTTTCTTGTCCGCATGCATTGCAGCAGTAGCGCGTCAATGCTTTGCTATGAGAAGTTTGATGTTTCTCCTTCATCCAAGGGGCACTTGCAGGGAGCCCAGTGGGCATGGCGCCCGGCATTTTCCCCACAAGTTGTGGCGTTGAACCCATATTCCATGTGGTGTATCCGATGTGTGGCATATGGGTTTGAACCAAAATCAAAGCGAGTCTCCTTTGAGTGGTTGGTGAGTTTTAAGATGCAGGGAGCCACGAGAAGCCAAAGGTGTTAGGTGATAAAGTGGAACATTGGCGATAAGGGGAAACCAACGTCAGGACACCCCAGCAGTGTGCGAGAGAGGAAACAAACCGAGCCCTCCGCCCATAGCCTTGGAGTTCTTGCTGACCGTTTGGGGGGATGTCTCTCTGCAATAAAATTCGTCCACCAAAAATAATTGGTTCTAAACTAGGCTTATTGATCGTTTGGGGTTGCTCTTTTTTCCTCATTCTTGCCAGCCATCTTTCATTTCCTTTCACGCACAAAGGGGTTCTTCCCCCGGGTTTGGGCGATCTCTGGAAGAGGTTGCGCTCCTGGAAGTCCGAACGTCGCCCACCCGCCCCACCCCCCCTGGAAAAAGCAGAAAACATTGCAGACAAACAATGTGCATTTTGCCATGCCGCACCCTTTTTATGGCATGGCAACCTTAGTTTGCACAGGCAAGCGGGTTGATTCTTCCCTAGAGGCTGTGTGTGTGTGTGTGCGCGCTTCTTCCTCACTTACAACTTACAACATGCCTGAATCATGATAGTGATGATGACGATGAGGATGACGACGATGATGACGGTGACTATGGAGATGACAGTCAACTTATCTTCCTGTCCCTGTAGGCAGCCACATGGGGTAAGATATGGCCATGAATCTGATTGGGGACCCGCTGTTTGGCCTTCATGCGTACATCTTTTTGGGCCAGTAGATCACACGCATATCTTAAGTTGGGCAATCAAAGGTGCTGGATCTCAAGAGGGCCTTTTTGAGGGCCTATTTGATGCTTAGTCAGCTTCCTCTTGTTCGGTAGTTTGGATTGGTGGTTTGGTGGTTAAGGGCTAGTTTCCCATTTACCCTCCACACAATTCAGAACAATCCAAACCACCCGTCCAAACTCCACCAGCGCCGATTTTTCCCCCCTCCCGCGGCTTTTCTCGGCTTTGTCAAGCCCAGGCTCCGACGAGGCCCTGGGCCTGCGCCTTCGCCTGGACGGCATCGGCACCATCATGCTGCCCACGGTCTACGACCCCTCGGAGCTGCGCTCCGAGTTCAACGGCAAGGCGCAAGCGCAAGCGAGCGGACGCGCAAGCGAATTCGTGTGGGCTGCGTGGCCTGTGGGTGGGAGGCGTTGGAGTCCAAGTTAATACTTCCATTTGCTTAAGTTGTTTTGTTTGATTTTGTCCAACTCAACCTCCTCCTGCTTAAGTTTTTGTTTAATCTTTTTTTGTTTAAAACATATTATTATTTCCCCCTGTTGGCTTTAAAGGGAATCGATTTCACGACTGGACATTTTTTTCTAGGGGACTTAAGCAAATGGAGGTTAACGTCGAGCGCGCTCGTAGGACTCCTGATGAAGAGCAGTGATGAATTCACCAACGTGAGCAGTGTGAGCAGTTTTCGGATGTGTGGCACTGCAGTGCCAAAATTGAACAATTGCTTTGAATTACTCGCCGAATGGACCGGCAAGGGGTTCGTTTGGAGTCACACACCGGTTTTGGACCAGATCTGACATTTTTGTTTGAACCCGTTTTGGTTGAACTGTTCAAGGCACTTGTTTTCAAGGAGGCAGTGGTATCAAAGAAGGAGGGCGCTAAGTGGGTCCCATGATGTGTTTAGCCTAGGTCCCCAACGGTGATCGCCTTTGTATATCCAGGTCGGTCCTGTTGGTTACTTGAGGGTGTGGGGTCGAAATCGGGGCGGGTGGGTTCCTCCCAGCAAGCGGCATGGATTGGATTCCCTGCCATCTAGGAAGCAGTTGTAGGTGCCTGTTGTGCTTGGTTTGGTGGAAGAACATGATCCCAGAGGAATGACCCTAGTCAGGGTGCACAGTTCCCTGTGTATGTAAGGGTGTTGACTAGACCAAAATGGGTTTGAATCGTCTGCCGGACCTGTCCCACAAGAGGGCAAGTCCAGCACCACCAACCATTTTAGGGGACCACTCTGCTGAGAAACACACATGCAAACGTGTACATAATAATAATAATTTTAATAATAATAATAATAATAATAATAATAATAATAATAATAATAATAATAATAATAATAATAATAACAAAAACAAGTGCATATGCTTCACCGTCAAACAAATCAACAACCTACCTTCTTGACATGTAGCTCGGCCGGTATGATCTTTTTGGGCCAACCTGGAGTAGCTACCCCTTTGACGCCCGCCGTCCGCGGACGTCCGCGCACTTCCGCGCAGGTGGTGCGATACTTGCAGGAGAACGGGTCCATGGTGAAGGAGGGAGAGCCCTACGTAGAGCTGGAGGCCATGAAGATGATCATGCCCATCAAGGCCGGGGCTCCCATTGCTTGGAGGCTGAGGGCTTTTGTTCTTGCCGGGTTTCAGCCTCGAGGCCGGGCTTGAGCCGGCTTGAGGCTAGGCTGCTTTGACGGGGCCGGAGGTCCTTTTGGCTTTCTTTCCATTATCCTAGTTGCAACCAGTGGAGACCGCCATCGGTTCACTTCTTCGTTGAAGGGAAGGGAAGGGTTACTCTCTAAACTCAACCAACCAAACAAATGTTCTTTTTGTTGCCCGTGGCCACTGGGCATCTGAGAAATGGGGGGGGGCGCCAAAATGGGCTTCGGTGTCCAGTTTTTTCCCTTGAGAACTTCTCCAAAACGGGCACCCTCAAAAAGACACACCCTTCTTGGGCGATCCGTTGTTTGGGTTCCATGGCTATGACTTTTCGGAGCTCAACGGAGGTGGACATAAATTAGCTAGACGATGCCCACCAAAGGAGCGGTGAGAAAAATCACACCGATCAGATCATAGTTTGAATGGGGGGTAATTATTACCAATTGTCGAGGCGATATTTCGGACCATTCATGGCCATACTATTAGAGGCTGGGGCCAGTCAAACAATCACCCCAACCAATACCAGCTTAATGATGAGGATTTCTTGGACCTCCCACTTCCTACCAAGAAAAAGGGAAATTTGTTGCGGGACAAGGGTTCAGCTCTGTAACGCCCGTTTGCCCGGTTTAACTGCAGACTCGGGTGCTTTGAATTCGTTTGGGTTGGATAATTTTTCACGGGATGAATTCCTTCCCGTTTGGCTTCCGGAGCTGGGAGGTCGCGATTTTCATTTGCCGAAGCTTTGGGAAGGCCACTGTAAACATCACCCGAATGTTGGCTTTCGGCCATGACTTTCCTTTCGGTTGGTCGGAACGGGGACAGAACTTTTCTCAGGGAGGGAACTCCTTCGCAATATGTTCCAACTTGAGGACAGTCATGGGGTATCCGAAAGGCACCAATTTGTTGGAATTGAACGGCTCGCCCAGATTTTGGTTCAGTTTCATTTGTTTCAAGCACTTGCTCAACAGACAGCCAACAAGCGGGCGGCCCTGTGGCACGGTTCTTGCTTTAAAAGTGTCACAAGCCGCTTTCGGAGGTGTCTCTTTTCCAGGAGGGCCTCCTAGCTTCATATTTCTATGAGGGTATGAGTCACTTGAAAAAGCACTTAAGTCATGGCAATGTGAGAAAAGTGCCGAATTACTTGGCCCCCCCCCAGCTTTTTATTATCACAACAAATAGTTGGCACCTCAGCTGTGTCCGGGTCGAGCTCGGACATGATTTTCAGTAATGGATTTTGTCCATCAGTACCTCCTGAGAATCCCTCCCACTTTGGTATCACCGGGTTGACACCCCCGATTCATAAACTGGGGTTCCGCTCAATCGGGGGTGCCACTACGGATGCGTGACACGGTTTGTGTCCTCCTGGGCGCTTAGTTACCTCCATTTGCTGCTCAAGTCCCCTGGAGCCATGGTTTCAACAAAAAGCTTTAAACCAGCGGCCCGCCGCCTCCGTCCCTCCGCCGTTCCCGCAGGCCACCGCCACGGGGAAGGTGACGCACTTGCGGGGCGCCGGCAGCATCGTCTCGGCCGGGGAGATGTTGGGAAACCTGGAGCTCGAGGACCGTGACCATAGGCGTCCTTGTTAGGTTACTCAGTTGTCCAAAGCGAATCGACCTTTTGACCTTTTGGTTTTCCAATTTTGGTCCATTTTTAGTAGAGGTGCCAAAAGGTTAATCTTTTAGTTCTGGGTCCTTTGGGCAACTGAGGTTAGTTTGATTAAAAATAGGTGGGTCCCACTGGTTTAGATGGGTTTTGTTCCAGTTACCAGGGCAAGGGATGGTTTTTGCTTCTTGAATCTGTTGAACCAAAAGAATCTTCCATGACCCGGGACGATGTGTGTTTGTTCAGAAACCCTAGAATGATGCTTCCCCTGTGCCAACATAATTTCAAGCATAGTGTCAAAGTGGTGCAGAGTTTTGCCGATCCACAGCACAGAAAGTGGCCACGGCCCAATCCTTCACATGCCGTATCGAACTTTGCCTTTCGGAGGGGGCCCAAAAGGGAACCGAGCATGGAATGAACATCCCCCATGGATTCGGAGGATTGGCCGGATATATATATATATATATATTGCCTACACTCTCGCATTATCTTTGTTGCATTTTGCCAAGGGATGTTAGGACTGAATCACTTTTTGCCAACTAATGTGTTTTTCATTGAACCACTAAAAGTTAAACTTTCAGCCGGGGAGCAGAAAACAACCAAATTATTCTATGTGGTTTCAATCTCAAGTGCCCAACTCACTTCCTGAGTTCGATGAACCCCGGGTGGCTTGTAGCCAATTGAAATCAGCTTCAGCCCGCGTCTCCTTCAGGCCTTGGTTTCCTTGTGTGGGATGTCAGAACGAGGTTCTCACCTGATTCACGTTCCAAATGGTGCAATCTCATGATGCAGAATGAGATCAAACACATTTTTTCACCCAAAACTACCTCCAGTTTTGGTTTAGAAAGATTCAGCAAGTCATTTGATGCAAGTCAACCGGAAGCGCCCCAGAGGCGGGCGCTTCCCAGATGTCATTTGATGGCCATAGTGATCCTTAAGCCCAGACCCCCAGTAACCATGGCACAAAAGGGCACCCATTGCTTGGTAGTTCCGCCACATTGCTCAAGACCCCACCCCGCCCGATTGGCCGGCCGAAGCCCAAATCAGACCGTCCCGCTAAGGGGAAGGGCAAAGTATGTACTAAAGCCAATAGGCAGGAGCATGTGGTCAGCATGCGTTAGTAAAAACATTGCTTGGAAGCTGACTTCAAAGGGTCCCATCCGCTCCTCCGCCCCAAAAAAGAAAAGGTAGCTCGCTCCAATGGCACGAGAGACGGAGAGAACCCACTGGGTGTCTGGGTGTAGAAGCCAGCCACAGGAAGTCCTGCAGGAACTTGGCAAACCCACCAAAAACAAGCTGGTTCCCGTGTAGAATTTCCTTCTTCTCACTTGCCCAAAGGACCTGGACATAAGAGACCATCATCAAAAGGAACAACAAGTTCCAAAACCGGAAAGCCAAAAGGTCCAAAGGTCGATTCGCCTTGGGCAACTGAGTCCCTTTTGGTTTCTCAGCTTCGTCCTCTCTACACTCCAGACCTTCGTGAGGTTTCTCCGTGGCGCATGTCGGCCCAGGATGAACAAACCCATACTAATTTTATCGGGAGGTGGGGGGGCCCTTCCAATAGTGTTCCGACTCTGCACTCCATTTCCAGC